TATATGCATAAATTGTTGTTTTAATAATATTCCGCTTATAACCACTTGGGTTGGACGGTAGAGCGACGGTCTCGTTTCCTACAGGTCCGCGTTCAATCCCCGACCGCCCAAGAAGTTGGGCACCATTCCTTTCCCCCGTTTCAGCCCAAATCCGTATCCTGATCCCTTCCGATTGCTATATAGTCGTAATGGCTTGGCGCATTCACTTGATAGTTCCCCCATCCCCCTGAATAATATTACGAGAGCAGTATTTACGGGCTATTCATGCCCATGCCACCTCTTGGGTGGCTTAATCTTCATCAATCGAGAGCAGTACGTCCTAACCAGACATTATATGATGATATCCTGAACAGTTAATAAATAAAAGTAATTGCGGAACTCCAGTTATCTAATACTTATCATAAATGGTACAAAACCTTATCATAAGCCAAGGGATTTGTAGATGTATTATGTTGATTTAGGGGCGACAACGATCGTGGGATCGGAAGCGCCCGGATTTTGTAGATAAGTGTTGAAAGGAAATTCGGAAGTAATAATAATACAGCTGATGCCATCTGTCGGCAGAAGAGAACACTATCAACTGGCTGGTCAACAGTGGCCATAAGATACAGCTTACGCCATCTGTTGACATCAAATTACACTTATAACAAATCTTCCTACAAAATACAACTAACGCCATCTCTGTTTTTTCCAACGCACTATAAATAGCCAAACAGCAACCCATAAGGTGGGTTGTTGTGCTCGGGTAGGAGGTTCCAAGCTCCGCCCACAGATGGTATGGGATGCATAATAAATGGCATATCATTGGTAGATATTCTTTGTTGACATTCACACAACAGCCAATCACAGAAAGGGATCAGCTAAAGGCTCCATTCACTTAATAAATCATATTTATTCAGCACACCATCCTTTCTTAAGACATTCTGCTTCAACTTTAATCTACCTAAAAACTGAAATGTTAAGTATTTAAAAATATTAATATAGTGATAATTAAATACTGCAGGACGTAACGGGTGTTACAGAAACATGGGCTGGCTACCTAACTTGTGACGTCATCAGTGGGTGTTGCCTCACAAATAATATCGGCGATACAATGCCTCCGTCCTCTTATTGCTCTACATTATTCAGTTAGATGGAAATTTCTGTCTTGTATAAAACAGAAATTGTTGTTCTTTTGTACAACAACAAGGTTAATGAGCAAAAGGACGTATTTCTTATTTTGCATTTTATTCATATAAGCGTTGGCATTCCCCGCAACAGCCAATCGCAGGAAGGTATTTGTTGGAAACTGTCTTCAACAAAAATGATTCCTAATGAACTCTAACAATAAATTCGTTTAATAAACGAGTATTTAGGGTCAAGCTACACATGAACATTATAGGATAACGGTGTTTTAGCCTGCAGTTTCGTTAGACAGAATCCCTGGTCTTAATTTTAAAAATAAAGAACTAGAAAGCGTATTTTATTGCTAACTTTTCGAGAAATAAATCCCAGCCTCATATTTGCGAACGTTTATGCATTGATTTTTTGCCTTAAGTTCTTATCATAATCCCTTTTGCAATCTCAACACCATCTGGCTCGTATCTTGTAACTATTTTCGTTACTTAGCCTCAAAACCTTACATTTGTCTTACATATCCTCAACAGTAGATAAAAAATAGATTTGTAGCCCAATCTGGCAACACTGGCGTCCTAGAGTCATTGTGTGGGAGACAGCCGCTCTACGCTTAAAAATATGAGAGTCCTTGTTAACGCACGAGGAAGCACTCTACACTGACGAACATACCAATACTTTAACACACATGTTAGGGCGAAAGTATTAGCGCGCTACATATATTTAAGCAGAAAACACTTTGAAAGAAATATATTAAATTTAATATATTCCAGATATTCACTTTCACACAGAATAACAGATATAATTACAAACGCTCTTTAACACAAACGTAAATAAATATACACAATATACTAGCTACAATTAATCACTATATACCTCAGGGAGACTGGCATAGACACAAAAAAAGGCGCTCCAGTTCTTATGTTCCAACATGGCGGAAGTGAAGGCCGTTTATTTCCCGAGTTAAGAAAACTGATTCGATCCGAAGTTGGCCTAATGGCTTAAAGGATCACTCAAACGAGTGGTCTTCCCGTTGATAAGTCGAATATGAATGAGATAGGGTGGATATAAATAGGAGCTGCCTCGTATAGGCCAATAGGCTTTCTGCAGTTACCTTCATTCTTGGTTCCTCTCAAATTCTCGTGTGGTGACTCAAAGTCTGAATGAATGTTGATATTTGAACATCAAGTGAAGTTATGAATTATGATACACATATGAGTGAATATATAATATTAATACATAATTCATTAACTTACTTTTTAATTTTCTTTTAATACTGATCCCGAGATCTTGAATAGTGAAAGCTAGAGTGGAGAGCACTCTGAATTTTATTGGCTTAAGATTATGATTTAAAGATTCTTGAGTATATGATTTACATTCTTACCGTTGTTACTTCATAACATCAGTTAATATTGTAGGACAGACACGTTCCATTCCTTGTTTTATCAAATTCACTTGAATGGAAGGTGGCAGCACTTTCTATTTTCTTTCCTTCAGCACTTCCAGCTCCTTCCTTCCCCCCTTTCATCCTTCCTTTCTTTTTCCCCAATCTTCCTTCTTTTCCTTCTCTGTAACCCTTCCTTCTACCCTTCTTCCTCCTCTTCTCACTCACTCCTCCCTTCCACCTCACTGTACCTCTCTCACTCAATGAATTTTCATCATTTTTTCTCCAATTATTCTGTTTCTTTACATGAAAGCAATGGCGATAAAGGCATCTAATCCCCTTTGCCATTTCAAAAGTCTGTAAATAATACTCATTATTAAAAGTAAATTTACATTCTTTTATACATAGCTTAACGAGATTGACAATAATATCAGCAGGCAGAGGTACCAGTTGTGTATTTGGCCTAAAAATGTAAACTCAGATGAATTTTTAGCTGAACTTAATGATATATAGGTGTGTGTGTGTGTGTGTGTGTGTGTGTGTGTGTGTGTGTGTGTGTGTGTGTGTGTGTGTGTGTGTGTGTGTGTGTGTGTGTGTGTGTGTGTGTGTGTGTGTGTGTGTGTATTAAAAAAGGGGTTGTACCACCTCTGGCTGGAAGAAGGGGGACCCATAGCCTCGGAGAAAAGCACACACACAACGCATTACAGGGAGTTTTGGGGTCCCATCCATTGCAGTTTTGTGTTCCTTTGTCACACCACTCCCCTTTTATTATATGGTGACCAAAACATAACTGCATAAATTAAGTGGAACCTAATATAGACATGGCAAAGCCTGACGAATAGCATTATATGGGACGGTGGTGTTGGGCTAAAGGCCTATCACCTCCAGAGTTATAAGCTCGCAAAAATGCCTACTGACCAACTAGCAAGTATACTTTAGCCATGAACAGTATTTAGAACTAAAATACACTCTCACTGTATATACAGCAATTAGTAGAGTACACTTCACAGTGAATTTATCCCTGATTAGATGCCTCATTACCAACGCTTTCAGATATTGAAACCCGGTTTCATATTTGCCTTATTTCGAACTATGTAGATTGATTTTTTTAGATCCCTCTCAGATATTCATGTTCTTCATATTTAGAATGTCATCAGTTACTATTTTTTTTTTTTTTTTTTTTTTTTTTTTTTTTTTTTTTTTTTTTTTTTTTTTTTTTTTTTTTTTTTTTTTTTTTTTTTTTTTTTTTTTTTTTTTGAGATATATACAAGAGTTGTTACATTCATGTACAACCACTAGTACGCGTAGCGTTTCGGGCAGGTCCCTGGAATACGATCCCCTGCCGCGAAGAATCGTTTTTTCATCCAAGTACACATTTTACTGTTGCGTTAAACAGAGGCTACAGTTAAGGAATTGCGCCCAGTAAATCCTCCCCGGCCAGGATACGAACCCATGACATAGCGCTCGCGGAACGCCAGGCGAGTGTCTTACCACTACACCACGGAGACTGTAAATCTTAACTCTTTGACTGCGACTCTACGAATGTCGCCGAATTCATAACAATTGTGTTACTGTTTTGATGCACAGTGTTACGTGTCTGAGAAATGGAGCTTGTGCCTCGAGCAATCAAGCCCGGATGTGAATGCTAACTGGGAACGATTAGCAACTAGTTAAATCAAATGTTTATTATATTTTAGATGCTAGTGAGCAATGGTTCTGTATGCAATCCGTCTTCAAAAAAAATAATAATGTGCGGTAGTCATTCCCAATATTTATGAAATAACTTCACACGATTCCTACCTGATATTCGGACTTTTCTTGAATATAGTTTCCTTCAATTCTAATGTTCAAAGTGCACTTCTCGAAACCTAATTATGCAGCCACAAGATCAACATCACTAGGCTCAGGACTGTACATCTGTCAACACTAAACGGCATCTGACAATTTGCATTTTATTTTAAAATTCTATCTGATTGGTCTTGTGAACGAAGCCAGAATTGAATATTTGAGAATAAAGGGTATATATATAGTGCTCTTATATATGAATCAATATTTGCAACACAGAAAACACAACTTTCCTCTTAGTATTGTAATCAAGAGTAAAGCACTGTTAAAACTAAGTGACAGCGAGCGCATCCAATCATAACGTTGGGGACGACAGGTGCACACACACGCTGGGGTCGCACGACACGCGACTCCGCCCTCTCCTTAAAAGTGCTGTCTGTGTACCTCCCGCCCTAGGTAACTAATGCTAATTGCAATGAATTTCCAACAATACGACCAGGTAGCTTGAAAACCCATAAGTAATTTTACTTTTAACCAATGTCCAATTTCCACAAACGGCGTGAGTCGCATCATAAGTTGACAGTAGTCATTTACAGTAGAATTTTAATTCTGTGTGATTAAATCTGATAATAGTTACCTGCGATACAAAATCTTTGGCGCTTACCTGCATTCCTTTCAGTAGGGTCTTCAGAGTTCTGTATAAAAAGCAGGGGGCCAGCCCGTTCTCACTTAGTCAGCCCAAGACTCAAGCCTGGGGAGGTGCACGAGAGGTGGAAGTTAATCCTGGCATCAAACGGTGCGTGAAGCTTCACCTGTTTTGTTGCAGGTTGTACGATATTCCCCATACTAAACACGACAATCGTTAAAAGAAACAGTAACTCATTATGGTGCTCAATGACGATTGGTGTTGCTTCAAACTCGTTTTGTAACTACTGGTGGTACAACAAAAATTCCAGACTCAGTTGGTTACTGCAGCTTCAGTATTCAAGAATTCCATTTTTAAAATAAGTGAATATGGATTATGAATAGTGTTAATAATGATACGATCATCATAACGATATATATATATATATATATTCAATTCCTAATTACAATTGTACGTCTTTATAATAGATGAGATCAGCGTAAACTCATACACTACGGAAAAATCTAATTCCGAATTCATCCAAACAAATATTTCCAGCGTGGCTTGACCTCCAGATACTGGTTACACTTGCCGGCCCTAGCACTGCCCTCGCCGACACGTTACTTCAGCCCCTAGGTAACATTGGAGTACTCCTCACTGGCTCCCACACTACTCCACTTCAACACAACTTTCAGCCCCTAGGTAACATTGGAGTACTCCTCACTGGCTCCCACACTACTCCACTTCAATACAACTTTCAGCCCCTAGGTAACATTGGAGTACTCCTCACTGGCTCCCACACTACTCCACTTCAATACAACTTTCAGCCCCTAGGTAACATTGGAGTACTCCTCACTGGCTCCCACACTACTCCACTTCAACACACTACTGCGTTAACTGCTATCAAGTTCAAATTGGGATATACTGCACATTTTGAGTTTTAGTATTTTAACTTATTGTTTCACAAGTTTGCTCTTGGTCGTTTGATTTGAACTACAAACAACTTGCAGTTCATTAGAATATATATATATATATATATACATACTGTTTCATATGCATTGTTCATATATTGTTCCACTTGAATTTCTTATTTTACAAAAATGCGGCGAATTAGTCTAAAGCCTAGTCTAAAACATTATGGTGCGATTACAATTAACATATTGACTCCAAAACCCTATTTCTTCCAATGGAAGCAATTAAATTTATCATTAATCTTAACAAAGTATTTCATTATAATGTTATATTTATGGTCATTAGGCTTTTAATTAGAGTATACTGTATACTGTAATGAGCAGTAACACAGTGAACACGAATAACATGATGCAATTTAATCACTTTTTCCTAACATTAATGATGGATAAAGGTTTTTAGAAAATCTGTATTATAAACTTCTTTAACAATGCTATACGGTATTTGATGAAATCATTTGCTTATTATGAAAACATTACAAGCGAAATAACAATATTTAAAGTGCCTAACACAAAATAAATGTTTTAATCCATTAGATAACGAGATCCAAATATACAGACTTAAGAACTTCAAAGCACTAATAAAAATATGAATTTAATCTATATACTAACTAATAAATGTGATATTTGTATGTATTGTCTCTACAGTGAGCTTGACAATTGCACGAAGTGACAAAATATCATATATTAATTACTGATCCTTACCCACTCCTTTCAGATACTCGCCTAAAGATTTTCAACGATGTGTGACGAGGAAGATGCCTGTGCTCTCGTCTGCGACAATGGCTCCGGCATGGTCAAGGCCGGCTTCGCTGGTGACGACGCTCCCCGCGCCGTCTTCCCCTCCATCGTCGGCCGAGCTCGTCACCAGGGTGTGATGGTCGGTATGGGTCAGAAGGACGCCTACGTCGGTGATGAGGCCCAAGCCAAGCGCGGTATTCTCACTCTAAAGTACCCCATCGAACACGGCATCATCACCAACTGGGACGACATGGAGAAGGTCTGGTACCACACATTTTACAATGAGCTTCGTATCGCTCCTGAGGAGTCCCCAACAATGTTGACTGAAGCTCCCCTCAACCCCAAGGCCAACCGTGAGAAGATGACACAGATCATGTTTGAGTCCTTCAATATGCCAGCCATGTATGTTACCATCCAGGCTGTGCTGTCCCTGTACGCCTCTGGTCGTACCACTGGTCTGGTGTGTGACTCTGGTGATGGTGTCTCTCACATGGTCCCAGTCTATGAAGGTTTCGCCCTTCCTCATGCCATCCTTCGTCTTGACCTTGCTGGTCGTGACCTGACCAACTACCTCATGAAGATCATGACTGAACGTGGCTACTCCTTCACCACTACCGCTGAGCGTGAGATTGTCCGTGACATCAAGGAGAAGCTTTGCTATATTGCCCTCGACTTCGAGAGTGAAATGAATGTTGCTGCTGCTTCCACCTCAATTGACAAGTCCTACGAGCTTCCCGACGGTCAAGTCATCACCATCGGCAACGAACGTTTCCGTGCTCCTGAAGCTCTCTTCCAGCCTTCCTTCCTGGGTATGGAGTCTGCTGGTGTTCACGAGACCGTTCACAGTTCAATCATGAGGTGCGACATTGACATCAGGAAGGACCTGTTCGCCAACACTGTCATGTCTGGTGGTACCACCATGTATCCTGGTATTGCTGACCGCATGCAGAAGGAAATCACAGCTCTGGCTCCCTCCACCATCAAGATCAAGATCATTGCTCCTCCCGAGCGCAAGTACTCCGTCTGGATCGGTGGCTCCATCCTGGCCTCTCTGTCCACCTTCCAGACCATGTGGATCACCAAGGAGGAATACGACGAGTCCGGCCCAGGCATCGTCCACCGCAAATGCTTTTAAATTGTTTATTTACATATATACGTTTTAACGCATTGTTAATACACTTATATTCACAAAATTAAATAAATTAGTAATGTTTATTTTATAAATTAGTAGAAATACAATAACTTAATACTTCGGTGTCATTGAATACAACATTTATAAATATTAATAAATAGAAAGTTTATATACTTTTATTTTATGCACAGGTATTGTTTATTGCTTATTTACGACAAATTCTTATTTTAATATTTTATTGCACTGCAATGTATTTTAAATGGATTCAGACACTGAAAGTGCAAAGAGCGTAGAAGGTCTATTGGTCCATTTAAGGCAGCTCAAATGAGTTGCCTTGACGTAACCAAACTCACTCATATACATACATCTCTAACCACCGTTTGAAACAATTCAGCGATCCCACAGATTATTCGTCATTTTGTTTCATAAATCAATAGTACTTTCTTTCAGTTTGCACCTTGTAAAAACATAGCCATACAGATAAAAATAAATATATCTCTAAAACAGAAATGGTAATTGTTAATGATATTGGTTTAGACTTTAGAATATAAAATGCAGTATTCAAATAATGAACTCTTAAAACTATTTTCATAATATATGGACCATTGAAGGGCAGATGGTATTCAATATAGGAAAATGGAAAACATTACATGTAGGTAATAGTCAACTAATCGTTGACAATAGCAAAACACTAGAAGAAGCTATAAAAGATAATCAAGCATAAGTAAACGTGCTTATGAATATCAGGTCCCCCCCCCCCCCCACCCCCATAAAAAATTATTCTGATTTTTAAATTCTTTGTACACCCTTCCCTTGATCACCTGACTATACTTACTTACTTAATACCACTGGAAAAACGTCCACGATGTAAAACAAATTACCAAAAAATTCAGTACATAGTTTTACTAAGATAGGCTACGGGTTTCAAGAAACACTTCTTGCAACCAAGAACTATGGACTTGATCGCAGAACAACTAAAGAGCGTGAATAAATTTGATAAACGTAAATCCTGGCAATTTCAAGATGCCTTACATGATAAAGAATAAAGGACACACTATTATTCTTATCCCAAAGAATAAAACCATAGAATAATATACACGTAAAGGGCCTTTAAGGCTAGGGTACAGTTTAAAATATATCTTAAAATATTCATCATACGAACAAGCTGGACCTTCACTAACCTGTCCCCCTACAAGGTCCATTAGTCACTATAGCCAACAATAAGAAGAAAAGATACTAAATTGGTAATGCTATGCTTTATATTCAAGTAACTAGTTGATAGTGAAGAGCTAGCTATTCTAACTTGAATAATGAATGTCCTTCCTCTAACGGCGGCATAATTCAGTACATGTAGATCAAACTTCCTTAACATTAGACCCTTTCTTTAGAGAATTTCCAGTACAGTATCTTGACAGAGACATCTAGAGGATGAATACTTCCTGAATGCATATTAGTTATAGATGTAATATAGTCAGTGAATTGCAATATAACAAGGGAGATACTTTCAGAGGATTAATGTAACAAGCGCGATAACATCATGAGATACAAAATAACAAGCGCTGTACCTTCAGAGGTGTAATTTAACAAGCGCTGTACCTTCGGAGGTATAATTTAACAAGCGCTGTATCTTCAGAGGTATAATTTAACAAGCGCTGTTTCTTCAGAGGTGTAATTTTACAAACGCTGTACCTTCAGAGGTATAATTTAACAAGCGCTGTACCTTCGGAGGTATAATTTAACAAGCGCTGTATCTTCAGAGGTATAATTTAACAAGCGCTGTACCTTCAGAGGTGTAATTTAACAAGCGCTGTATCTTCAGAGGTATAATTTAACAAGCGCTGTATCTTCAGAGGTATAATTTAACAAGCGCTGTATCTTCAGAGGTATAATTTAACAAGCGCTGTACCTTCAGAGGTATAATTTAACAAGCGCTGTACCTTCAGAGATGTAATTTAACAAGTGAGGTACTTTCAGAGGTACAATATAGCAAGCTAGGCACCTTATTTGTTATAACAAGCAAGGTACCTTGCTTGTACATTTGTGCAAGGTGCATTTTGTACATTTTGTACAGGTGCAAGAAACAAATGGGCAGAGTGTCGTTCACCCTGATGCTCCTGTTCACCTAGCAGAAAATAAGTATCTGGGAGTTAGACAGCTGCAACGGGCTGCTTCCTGGGGTGTGTAACAAAGGAGGCCTGGTCGAGGACCGGGCCACGGGGACGCTAAGCCCCGAAATCATCTCAAGATAACCTCAAGATATACCTACCGTCAAAGGTACAGTACAAAGAGTGAGGTAGGATAAACAAGCAAGGAACCTTCAAATAAAATGTAACAAGCACGATGCCTTCATATATAAATATAACAAACGAGATGTCTTCAGAGATATAATATAACTTGGAAGGTGCCTGCAGATGTTACGTACAGTACCTCTATTTCATCTGTTCGCAAGATTATCCGATTGGCTCTCGGATGTAAGCTTAGCTAACAGTGACCCACGGGAAGTTTAGGCTAGATGCAAATTGTACTATACCTGACGTCACAATCTAGATACCGTCTATAATTGCAAATACAAATTTACAGAAGGATTAAGATGATTCGCAATTCTGCAAATAAATACTAGCTAATAATAAAGGTATTATATCTGAAATGACAATCAAATGTGGGGTTGAGGTGAGAATAAATGCTCCCCCTCCATCCCATCATGAGGCATCGTTGCCATGTGTACGAGGAATGATTCTCGATAAGTAATGTGTAGTCAGTTTTCATATAAATATTGAAAGGAAAAACAATAGATTGCATACATCTATTGCTGTGTTATAGATTATCAGCTGTGTTATAGATTCCAGCGTGTAAGCAAGACTACGACGAGATTACTTTGAAGATTGCAAGGTAGAACTACACATTTTCTCTACAATTAGTTGTGCAAAATACTATTTGTACTGATTTAATAATAATAATAATTATTATTATTATTATTATTATTTATTATAATATTATTATTATATAATAATAATTATTATTATTATTAATATTTATATTATTACAAATAGTGTGATATAGCCTATTCAAAATCAATAATATTTAATTGCGATAATCTGAGAAATCAATGGACGAATGCTTTTATTTATACAATTTTATATCCTTGACATTTTACGTTTTAGAGTTCCAAAGAACCGGAACGTTTTATGAACTGTTACCTACCATCCACAGGATCTGTTTACGTCCAAAGGTGTCTGAGGATCACAGCTATTAATTGGTTATTTTTAACATACACTTAACGTCATTCAGTACAGGCGATACGACATCTCTGGCTCTCACCTGAATTCCTGTCTTACCGGTAAGAGGCTCCAGGTGTTTGTATATAAGGAAGGAAGGGAAGCAGGCGCCGACCCCACTCAGCCCGCCACACACGCCAGGTGAGTGTTCACTGTAGGGCGCCCACGGCTAGCCATATTGTATCGCATCAACCCGTGGCAGCTTATATTAAGAGCACGTTATCCGTTTTATCGTTTAATGTTGTAACTTGTTTCTTTAATTGATTTAGTGTCCTAAAATAAAGAGTTAATTGTTTGCTATGTAAAATGGCTCTGCCCCTAAATGCCTGTTTCATTTTATGTTAAATTTAACCAGATGGAGACTAGGATGGATCAAATCACAAGTAAGGGTCAAGTTGTCCCTTTTTCAGCACACTCCAAACCCCCAAAAAACTAATTGCTTAACATATTTTTACGTAGTTAAAAAGAACCTTGCCTAACATTTACACTATCCAACGAACGCAGGGCCATAAATTAATTAAGAAAATAGACAATATATGAAACACGTGTCTAGAAAAAGCTTATTGCCAATTGGCAGTGCTAAAATAAACTAGAAAAGTTAGGAAGGGTAAATACGCAACTCAACGGTGTCAATAACCATAACAACGAAGCACCTAGAACAGAATACAGGCCACATTACTGTAATCCTGAAGTCTATTCGGGCAATTAGATAAATTACAGTTTCAATTATCCAATGAATCGATAGGTCTATAACCCTAATAACAACTCTTAACCAAAGACATTGTTTTTTTTAAATAATGTTAAGGAATATTTTATGTCAATATCTTATATTTTTTCTCATGATCCGAAAAATGTATTTGATTTCTGGTAACATTTTGATGAGCAAGTATTAAACTAATTGTGAATTTCAGACAAGCACTACAATGAGTGACGAGGAAGATGCGTGTGCTCTTGTCTGCGACAATGGCTCCGGCATGGTCAAGGCTGGCTTCGCCGGTGACGACGCTCCCCGCGCCGTCTTCCCCTCCATCGTCGGCCGTCCTCGTCACCAGGGTGTGATGGTCGGTATGGGTCAGAAGGACGCCTACGTTGGTGAAGAAGCACAAGCCAAGCGTGGTATTCTAACGCTCAAGCACCCCATCGAACACGGCATCATCACCAACTGGGATGACATGGAGAAGATCTGGTATCACACCTTCTACAATGAGCTCCGTATCGCCCCTGAGGAGTCCCCAACAATGCTGACTGAAGCTCCCCTGAACCCCAAGGCCAACCGTGAAAAGATGACACAAATCATGTTTGAGTCCTTCAATATGCCTTCAATGTACGTTACCATACAGGCTGTATTATCACTCTACGCCTCCGGCCGCACCACTGGTCTGGTGTGTGATTCTGGTGATGGTGTAACTCACAACGTCCCCGTTTATGAAGGTTATGCTCTTCCCCACGCTTTCATTCGCCTTGACATGGCTGGTCGAGATGTAACTCAGTACCTAATGAAAATTATGACTGAGCGCGGATATTCATTTACTACCACCGCTGAACGTGAAATAGTGAGAGATATAAAGGAGAAGTTGTGCTATATAGCTCTTGACTTCGAGAGTGAGATGAATGTTGCTGCTGCCTCAACTTCAATAGACAAATCATACGAGCTCCCCGACGGTCAGGTTATCACCATCGGCAACGAACGCTTCCGTTCCCCAGAGGCTCTCTTCCAACCTTCCTTCTTGGGTATGGAATCTGTTGGGGTACATGAGTCTGTATACAATTCCATCATGAGGTGTGACATTGACATCAGGAAGGATCTGTTCGCCAATATTGTCATGTCTGGTGGTACCACCATGTACCCTGGTATTGCTGACCGCATGCAGAAGGAAATCACAGCTCTGGCTCCCTCCACCATCAAGATCAAGATCATTGCTCCTCCCGAGCGTAAGTACTCCGTCTGGATCGGTGGCTCCATCCTGGCCTCTCTGTCCACCTTCCAAGCCATGTGGATCACCAAGGAGGAGTACGAGGAATCCGGTCCTAGTATCGTCCACCGTAAATGCTTCTGAACAAGTCTTTGTATACTGCCTTTTTACGTTACATAAGAGCATTATTGTCAGTTAGCTGCATTAGTATTATCAAAGCTGTGTAGCTTATGGCCAATAAAAATAAATAAAAAATGAGTTTGTTATCCACCACCATATTTTGTTCGATATATATTTTTATACTACAAGACAGTTTCTGAATACAATATTTTGTACATAAATTTTGTTGACAGTTTGTCAACATAATAGTCTCTAGCTCATGACAGTGTCAACACAGTAAGTTCTAGTTAAAGACAATACAAAGGGTTCTAGCTAGTGACAGTTTGTCAATAAAGTACGCTGTGGGCAGTTGCATTTATAAAAACCGATTAACGTCACTATAACCATTCTCAGTGAAGACAGACTCTGACATCTGCCAGTAACTTAATAATATGTGGTATCAAACGGACACAGAAGTAGTTATAATATTCTTGTCAATCCGGAACCATAGAAGGTGCTAGAAGAAAAGGATCTGAGTGCATTTGAAAATAAAACCCAGGTTAAAATTTAATTAAAGCTTAAAAACTGCCACCTTATTAGTACTCATATCATTAATTACTTGAGGTTTGTTTATTTAATTTTATGATTAGTTGCTTTATAAACGAATTAACAAATACTGCTACTAAAGCACAGTAATACATAAAAATGTTGATAACACATTCACGAAAGTTCAGATAGGACACCTGAAAATGCAGAAAAAACACGAATATAAAATTAAGGTAAAACAAATATATGTGTTAGGATACAGAATTCGCGCCCGTCATGGTTGGCTGCTTCCCGCCCGTTTCACACCCCATAAACACAGATATTTAGTTTACGTAGAGGGCTCAGGCGCGAGGTCCAGACCGAACCACGCGGCGACCATCTGACTCACGTCCTCGGGATCCAACACAATAATCTAACTGATAATATGTGTGTCTGGATCGATAATCGCCAAGCACTTAGCGACCGTCCTCACTCCAATAGCTATTACCTCTTAACTGCGCAGTGAAGTGTCTGTTACCTAACAGTAAATAGGTACCCGGGAATTAGGGCAACTATTATGGGTTACATCCTCTGGATAGGTCAGTCAGAGCCTAACAGGCTCTGAGAATGGGAAATCAAGATCTTGCTGACGTCTAGTTATAAGGAGAACGATTGAAAAGCCTTATGAAAATGTTGGCTTCGGATAGTGATCGAATTTGCAGGGGCAGGGCGGTGAGAATTCGGATAGATGGAGAGGTCAGGCAGGAGGGATGTTCGGACACGAGAGGTCAGGCAGGGGGGATGTTCGGACACAACGAAAGGTCAAGCAGGGGGATGTTCGGACACAACGAGAGGTCAGGCAGGGGGGGGGGGGATGTTCGGACACAACGAGAGGTCAGGCAGGGGGGGATGTTCGGACACAAAGAGAGGTCAGGCAGGGGGGGGGATGTTCGGACACAACGAGAGGTCAGGCAGGGGGGGGGGGGATGTTCGGACACAACGAGAGGTCAGGCAGGGGGGGGGGGGGGGGATGTTCGGACACAAAGAGAGGTCAGGCAGGGGGGGATGTTCGGACACAAAGAGAGGTCAGGCAGGGGGGGGGGGATGTTCGGACACAACGAGAGGTCAGGCAGGGGGGGGGATGTTCGGACACAACGAGAGGTCAGGCAGGGGGGGATGTTCGGACACAACGAGAGGTCAGGCAGGGGGGGATGTTCGGACACAACGAGAGGTCAGGCAGGGGGGGATGTTCGGACACAAAGAGAGGTCAGGCAGGGGGGGGGATGTTCGGACACAAAGAGAGGTCAGGCAGGGGGGGATGTTCGGACACAACGAGAGGTCAGGCAGGGGGGGGGGGGATGTTCGGACACAACGAGAGGTCAGGCAGGGGGGGGATGTTCGGACACAAAGAGAGGTCAGGCAGGGGGGGATGTTCGGACACAACGAGAGGTCAGGCAGGGGGGGATGTTCGGACACAAAGAGAGGTCAGGCAGGGGGGGGATGTTCGGACACAAAGAGAGGTCAGGCAGGGGGGGGGGGATGTTCGGACACAACGAGAGGTCAGGCAGGGGGGGGGGGGGGATGTTCGGACACAACGAGAGGTCAGGCAGGGGGGGGATGTTCGGACACAAAGAGAGGTCAGGCAGGGGGGGATGTTCGGACACAACGAGAGGTCAGGCAGGGGGGGGGGGGATGTTCGGACACAACGAGAGGTCAGGCAGGGGGGGGATGTTCGGACACAAAGAGAGGTCAGGCAGGGGGGGATGTTCGGACACAACGAGAGGTCAGGCAGGGGGGGATGTTCGGACACAAAGAGAGGTCAGGCAGGGGGGGATGTTCGGACACAAAGAGAGGTCAGGCAGGGGGGGGGGGGATGTTCGGACACAAAGAGAGGTCAGGCAGGGGGGGGGGATGTTCGGACACAACGAGAGGTCTAATAAAATGTCTCGCCAGGAAAAACTCGACGAAAAATTTCCTGCAACCCTAGAATTGTGCATAGTTTCAGAGCAAACAAAAACTCTACGTCATATTTTGTAATTTGTTTTATTTTTATTAACACATTTAGGTACAGCTGCATTTGTGCAGCTACCCTAGACTATATGAAGGGGTCACAAAACTAGCTACGTGATGCTAAAAATCCCTATCACACAGGATGGTTAGTCATACAGAGGCATGTGATAAGTAGTCTGCACTGGCAAACTTTGGGTGCATTGTCAGGGTATCATGAACACAAGAGTGAATAAGATAGCAGTGATACTGAAAGTCTCCATCTCGCAGGACTGTATTCCCTTTTATGAAAATTATGTGCCCGTTAAAAAAATGCCTAAAGAGGTTATCATCATCCCTAAACGAGAGGATTAAAATTTGGAGTTATCTTCTGGCTCTACCCGACATTCCTCCCCTTTACAATGGACGTATAAAAAGGCAGGTGTGTGCTGGGTCCCACCAGTCACAACTTGCCTCACAGCAGGTACACACACAGGTAAGACTCTCCAGTCCACCCTCTGAAAATTTTATTGTTCATTATATTATTTCCCCCAAAAAATGCAAATTAATTTTTGATAGCAGTCTTTCTTTTAAACATATTTCATTTAAAACAACAATTTTTTTTAGATTTATGATTCTGGCACGAATCTTCATCGATATTCCTTATGTTTTTCTTTACTGAAGCAGGAAGTTAAAAAATTAACTCTCCAAAATTAATTTTTACTTTTATTGGGGTCTAACGCCTAGTGATACGTTTCGTAAGATCTCACCTCACCTCAGAATATATATATATTCTGAGAGGTGTATCAGTATGCTCCTCCGTGAAACAAGATGAAATTTTACCTTAGTCGTTTTGAACTACAATATAGACACCCAACCCACACATATGATAATAAAGAGGTGAAGACATTTCTGTCTGACCTGAACCATTGCGACGACTTGATAATGTTCAAGGACGGACCGAGACGTCGTCCCTTCCGTTAATTTCACATGTATAGGTTGGGTGGCTAATTCTCATTATGGTCTGCATATGATCTAGGCTTAAAGTATATGTGCTGCTTGTTTATTAAGCTCGTGTTGAGGCCTTATTAGCCCTCTCACGATTGGTAGGTTTATGTCCAACACCAGAACCAGGTGGACAAAAATTCCTCTTATGAGGCTACAGCTGAACAATAAATAGTATTAAGGAGGCGCGGCTGATCATCAGACCTTTCACGTACCTATGGGTTCTACAACCTTTCAGTCAACTCAAGGCTGTCCAGTGCTGTTTACAAGTCTACGAACATTGATTTGTAAACAGTCAACCAACAAACAGATTGTTTACGGAGATTGACAACTATTTTAAATTTTTGTCACTGAGTACTGTTGTTGTTATTTTACAGCTACTCTGAACAAAAAAATCCAAGTAGCACGGGCTATGGTGAGCCCGTAGTGGACTTACCTGGCACAGGTGCGGGGCTGTAACTGTGTTTTGAGTACTGTTAACACTCATTAATACTCAACATGGTTTACCAGTTGTTTTCTGCTGCTTTTTAAAATGTTTCGTGGTTAACTTCAATACTAGTACATTACAAGGAAGCTCGGCATAAAATAAAAATGCAGAACTTGATGTAGTTTACAATAATTCATCCATGCCTCATACCAAACAATTTGAGAGAGTGATACTTGGCCATTCTACCAGGAGATTTTTTATGAATTAAATCGTTATTCATATCTTTATTATAGCAATACTTTGTGACATGTCGATAGCTAAGGGAGACTAAGTCGTTAGCTAAGATCTCACACTAGTACGCGAGATCAATGATCTATGACGTTTAAAGTATTGGTTGTTAATATGTATGTCATAGTACAAGAATATATTTTGTGAAGGTTGTACAATTTCCATTAATTATATTTTTCAGTGTGATTCGTCCATATCAATCATGTGTGACGACGATGAGGGTACAGCACTCGTCTGCGACAATGGCTCTGGCATGGTCAAAGGAGGCTTCGCCGGTGACGACGCTCCGCGATGTGTCTTCCCCTCCATCGTCGGTCGAGCCCGTCACCAGGGTGTGATGGTCGGTATGGGTCAGAAGGACGCCTACGTCGGTGATGAGGCCCAGAGCAAGAGAGGTATCCTGACTCTCAAGTACCCCATCGAGCACGGCATCATCACCAACTGGGACGACATGGAAAAGATCTGGCACCACACTTTCTACAACGAACTGCGTGTTGCCCCTGAGGAGTCCCCAACGCTATTGACTGAAGCTCCTCTGAATCCAAAATCAAATCGTGAAAAGATGACTCAGATCATGTTCGAGACATTTAATATGCCTGCCATGTACGTGGCCATCCAGGCTGTGCTGTCCCTGTACGCCTCTGGTCGTACCACTGGTCTGGTGTGCGACTCTGGTGATGGTGTCTCTCACATGGTCCCCGTCTATGAGGGTTATGCTCTTCCCCACGCTATTCTTCGCCTAGACTTGGCTGGTCGTGATCTGACTCTGTATCTCATGAAAATTATGACTGAGCGTGGATACTCGTTCACTACCACTGCAGAACGCGAGATTGTTCGGGACATAAAGGAAAAGCTTGGTTACATCGCTCTTGACTTCGAAAGTGAAATGAACGTCGCTGGAGCTTCCACCACTCTTGACAAGTCCTACGAGCTTCCGGACGGTCAAGTCATCACCATCGGCAACGAGCGTTTCCGTGCTCCTGAAGCTCTCTTCCAGCCTTCCTTCCTGGGTATGGAATCAGTTGGAGTTCATGAGAGTGTATTCAACTCTATCATGAGGTGCGACATTGATATCAGGAAGGATCTCTTTGCCAACACTGTCTTGTCTGGTGGTACCACCATGTACCCTGGTATTGCCGATCGCATGCAAAAGGAAATCACAGCTTTGGCTCCCTCTACCATCAAGATCAAGATCATTGCTCCTCCAGAGCGTAAGTACTCCGTCTGGATCGGTGGCTCCATTCTCTCGTCACTCTCCACCTTCCAGGCCATGTGGGTTACTAAGGAAGAGTATGACGAGTCTGGTCCAAGCATTGTGCATCGCAAATGTTTCTAAGGAAGCCATCTTAATTATAAAACTGTTGTATTGTCATTGGTGTCCATATATATTGAGCTATCAATAAACAAAGCTACAGGCAAAATGTAGTTTCACAACAGTGTTTTTGAAGCCACAGTCCAATGAAAAAGAAACCATATAAATATTATAAACCATTAAAAGAAAATGACAGGGAATAATACATGTATTTGAAGTATATCCCAACTTAACCATACCTAGCATAAACATAAAATGTGTTTCACAGGGAAATCATTTATCACACTGAGCATATTTTCAAGATACTGCATGAAATCCCAATATTCATTCCTTGACATAAAAAATATTATTAATGTTGAGTTGCCTCTATAAGTAATTTAATGATGATGATACTAGAAAGCATTAGATACAAATTCATAGTGGATTCACTTTTTTCTGTTAAATATATTGGAAAGCTTCACTTAATAATTTTACAATGAACAGATTTTGCTACATTTGTTGCCATTATCCAAATTTCAGAGTTTAGATATTATGCCGTTGCATTTTTCATCTGATTACTGTCATAGTCACAAATTCTAGTTTGACATAATTAATCAGCGTCCTGGCACTTCCAAAAAGCAAACTCTATACTCACCAATATTATTAATGTAATGTATTAATATCATCGTGACATTGAAACTATCGTTACAAATTTATAGCGATGTAGCGTTCTATACCTATAAGAAATTCCATTCAAATAAATACTATTTATTAATAATTCAAAAAAACACAAGTGAATGATGATTTATTAGTTAAAATGAAATTTTAAATTAAATATTTCAGTTTATATAGGCTACACAAGGACGTGGTGTACGTTTTTCAGTGCATGTTAGCCTGAGGGACGACAGCCTTAGTGGTCTCGACACGGACAGGAAGCCGGTGGCTTGTCAAAGGTCCTCCCATTAAATCCTGAAGAATAATGGCACTAAAACGTTCGGTGAATTCAACAACAAACAAACATTACACATTTTTCACATTCCCCCCGAGGTATTAGTCCCACCCAGAGAAAACGCTTCCTTCAATCACGGTGAGACAGTATAGAGCATGCTGAACGTACACCTTTAAAAGGGAGCACTAATATATATTCTGATTTACTCGACGGGTTCTGCATACGATGTCGAACTTACTATATTTCCATACCGATGTTCTACAGAGAAATTTTCCATAGGAGAACACAGCGAGATATCGTCTCATTTTCTCACAGTAGTTACTAACGGCATGGTGCAGCGGTCGAAGCTGTTAGATCACAGCCGAAAGGTGGCAGGGTTGAAGCGTTTGGGCAATGTTTCTTTTAATTTGATTCCTCTGTTCACTCAACAGTATATAGGTACATGTGAGTTAGGTCACTGTTTTGGGTCGCATCTTGGGAGAGAAGGAGCTGAGTACCATCTTGATTGCCTTAGAAAAATACAAGAAAATTAAGAATAAAATAATTATGCTACTTATTAATTATTTTTTGTGTATGGATAGGTAGGCAGGTAGGAGGGTTACTCAGTGAACAAAATTAGAAGTTATTGCAAGGCAGAATCAAGTATAACATTTGGGGTTTAAGACTCATGCTCTGTGATATAAAAAATTGGTTTACCGATGATGAGTTTATTATATAAACTATATATAATGTAGTATTTCCCTTGTAAATTAATGTATATATGACCTTTATATTGTATATTATTTAATAAAGATAAAAAAAAATACCGAAAACTGCAACAAAATATAGTAGACCTGAGACAAAGTGAAATCATACACTAATCATACTGTTATGCAGGAAGAGCCACGTACCCATGTGGGTCATCCAATAAGGTTAGCAGACATTTAGACGTTACTGCTGCTAGGCTTAGGCTATGCTACAAATACCTCTGGATGTTTGCACCACCTACTAAAGTTCATCTGACCAAATGCAAACTTTGTCATTAGAACTATATATTACCATACCATATGTCACTATTTAATTTAAATTCTTGATAATAAGAGTAGTGTACGTCTGCTGAGAGTTGACCATGTTAGCCTAACCGATGCCAGTACAGTACCTGCTACCGAGGCCTAATCTTAATATCTCAGAGAATACGTATAACGCTTTCTCAGAAGTAACTGGAGAATGAACTGAATAATGAATGCCTTCACAAGGAAGGACTAGTTGATATATATTGGTTATATTACTAGAGAATGACAGGATGATCACCTCTTCATGTCTATTTTGCGTAATTTTGCAACTTTAGTCACCCATTGTTCTAATTCAGAAGAAAAACACTGAATTGACGGTAGAGTTTGTATTAATGGGAAACCTCACACTTTGTCTACCAAATTATCGTTATTATTAAATTCGAAGAGCTTTTAATATAACTTGTTATTGTGCTGCAAGTATTAATATAATAATTATCAATTATCATTATGTTTATGTAGCCTATACATATTTATCTAAAAAATATGCATATGATCATATTAAAATTATTTCATTTATATGAGAGTATGCCGTTCGGTCGAGCTTCGGGCTCATCATCATTTTGCAGAAACATCGTGACAACAATAAACAAGCGAGAAGTCAGAGGGAACTGTGAAACAAGTCGCGTTTATATCCGAGTGCCGGAAGAGTGAATTCCACCCCAGTGTCGACTACCACTGTTGTTAAGCTCCCTTCGAAATACCACCCATAGCTTTCTCTGGCATGCGAGGAAGGAGGGGGAGGGATGAACGGCAAGTCTTAAAGGGCCAGAGTGAGGCTATATAGGGTAGGGTTAGGGCCCACGTGTTGTTCAGTCAGTCAGGAAAGGCAGCCAGGGACGTCCTGCCCACTCCCTGAGTCCCAGTTACTGGTGATCTCCACTTCACGAAGAAGGTTCGTAATATACAAGAGGGTGAAAGAAGTGAATGTGAATATTTACAGTGTAATAGATACTTCAACTGGGATGTGTGAGTGTCTCTTCTTACCGATGTATGTTTGCGAGGATTGGGTTCCAGCAAATGGGTCCTGCCTCTTATCCTTCATTGGACTGGTGTAATGCCTTCCTACCCAAATGGCTCTTATCATTATTACACTTGACCTCGCGTGTGGAGTTTGTTTCCATTTTCGCCTCCATAGTGCACTCCACTTTAACAAACTCTGAATCATTTCTGTTTTCCATTTGTTCCTCTCACCTTAGATACAGACTATGAAAGTAGCTTGCCTATCCACCTTCTCGATACCTCAAAGTATCTTGTATTTTGTGACCATGTTTCATGTGTCACATTCATCCAGCATTATCATATTTAGTTCTTTGAGCCTATCCTTGTAGCTAAGGCCCTTAATCTGTAGGAACAGCTTCGCGGCAAATATCTTACTCATTTCAAATGTCTTTGTATTCTCAAGGAGGTGTACTCTGGTGCTGTAAACCCTGATAACTGTCTCATGTATATAGCATATATTATATCATTCGTTCATGAATTTCTAGAGGCTGTTCTTATACATGTTAATGCTGTGTATTATATATATATTAATTTGTATACATGTGAGTATTTAGCATAACACAGAATTATTTTTTCAGAGAGCATAACTAGGAAAAAACAAAATAGACTTAAAAGATTATAAACAAAATTACTTCTAATAGTCTACAATTTTCTGCTTGGCAATCGGTATGAATATTGCATAATTTAACATTTGTAAGAATTTTATTACTACGTTTAAGGCTTAGAAATATTGTTTCCGAAGTATAGGCTTGTCCTAAATAATCGTAAACTGAATTTATATATTAATTATCCCTTTCATGACAGATCCAGCTATATAAATCACAAGAATGTGTGACGAAGAAGAGTGTGCTCTCGTCTGCGACAATGGCTCCGGCATGGTCAAGGCCGGCTTCGCCGGTGACGACGCTCCCCGCGCCGTCTTCCCCTCCATCGTTGGCCGAGCTCGTCACCAGGGTGTGATGGTCGGTATGGGTCAGAAGGACGCCTACGTCGGCGATGAGGCACAAGCCAAACGTGGTATTCTCACTCTCAAGTACCCCATCGAGCATGGCATCATCACTAATTGGGACGACATGGAGAAGATCTGGCATCACACTTTCTATAACGAGCTGCGTATTGCCCCTGAGGAGTCCCCAGTCCTCCTGACGGAGGCTCCCCTCAACCCTAAGGCCAACCGTGAGAAGATGACACAGATCATGTTCGAGACATTCAGCTGTCCAGCCATGTACGTGGCCATCCAGGCCGTGCTGTCCCTGTACGCCTCTGGTCGTACCACAGGTATCGTGCTGGACTCCGGTGATGGAGTGTCCCACACTGTCCCCATCTACGAGGGTTATGCTCTTCCCCACGCTATCCTTCGTCTTGACCTGGCTGGCCGGGACTTAACTGATTACCTGATGAAGATCATGACAGAGCGAGGATACTCCTTCACCACCACGGCTGAACGTGAAATCGTCCGTGACGTCAAGGAAAAACTTTGCTATGTTGCCCTTGATTTTGAAGGTGAAATGAGTGTTGCAGCAGCCTCCTCGTCCTTAGACAAGTCTTATGAACTCCCCGATGGTCAGGTCATTACTATTGGTAATGAGCGTTTCCGTGCTCCAGAGTCGCTCTTTCAACCATCCTTCCTAGGGATGGAAGCCTGTGGGATTCATGAAACTGTGTATAATTCTATTATGAAGTGTGATGTTGATATTAGAAAAGACTTGTACGCCAATACAGTCCTCTCTGGTGGTAGCACAATGTATCCAGGTATTGCTGACCGAGTACAGAAAGAAATAACAAACTTGGCTCCCTCCACCATCAAAATCAAGATCATTGCTCCTCCCGAGCGTAAGTACTCCGTCTGGATCGGTGGCTCCATCCTGGCCTCTCTCTCCACCTTTCAACAAATGTGGGTCACCAAAGAGGAGTACGACGAATCCGGCCCCAGCATCGTCCACCGTAAATGTTTCTAACTAGCAAACAAACGAACCTGGCTGAGTCTCGTATTTAATAAGAACATATTTTACCAATGTTTTTGTACTTTTCGAATAAATTTTGTTTATAAGTGCGTATACTTTACATTCAACTCCGCGTCAAACAAAGTTGTACGTAAAGAATCTCAGATACACAATACATAACAATTTAGCAAATTTAAATAAAAAATCCCTTGGCTGAGCGAGCTCAATCACTAGCAACTCCTAATAGTCTCAATAAAGTCCAATAAAGAGGGCTTTACTTGTAACATAGTCAACACATGTATAAATATCTCTACATTTAACAGAGCAAACTTGAGCACAGACTACACAACGCACAAAAAATACCCTTAACAATACTTAGAATAAGTAAATATTTACTACAACTCCTATCGTAAGTGCTCATGATTTTATCTACCAAAATCCTTTATATTAATTCGTTAATCATCTCTGTTACATAAATTCGAGATAGTACACAAGTATATATAATTATAAACATAATATTTAAAGGTTTCTTTATATGAAGAAATTCAGACATTTTGTTTAAGCTTCCTTTAAAAGCAAAATTGCAATTGCTTCACATATTTGAAAAACTTAAGAGTCGAAGAGTAAAGCTCATGTTTTCTTAATTGATGACTTAGCTTTGTGTTCTCTTAATTGATGAGTAAACCGTGTGTTCTCTTAATAATTGATAAACACCTAACATCATCACAACAAAGCCTATTGTCACGGTAGAACAAGTTCTGTTACCAAGTCTTAGGCTTTGTTGCCATTATATTAGGTTTGAAAACTGAATATAACTTTAAATCGTTTACCGTTTCGTTATTTTACGGGAACAATAGTTGTTGCGTTGATATTTCTGAAAGTCTTGTTATGAGAAAATAAGCAATGAACACACTTTTCCACAAGTATGGGTGTTTTCATTTAAGATATCCGTGTTGTATACGGCCATAGGCTAAATATATGTATAGAGCAAGTGGGGGATCACATTTCCCTTAACGGAATGAAGATAATTTTAGACTGGCGTGTCTAGCAGCTGTGTCCGCCGCTCCTGCCGTGTTCGGCCTACCACTCCTGCCTACCTTGGCTACCACTCCTGCCTATCTCGGCTACCACTCCTGCCTACCTCGGCTACCACTCCTGCCTATCTCGGCTACCACTCCTGCCTAACTTGGCTACAACTCCTGCCTAACTTGGCTACCACTCCTGCCTATCTCGGCTACCACTCCTGCCTACCTCGGCTACCACTCCTGCCTAACTTGGCTACCACTCCTGCCTATCTCGGCTACCACTCCTGCCTACCTCGGCTACCACTCCTGCCTAACTTGGCTACCACTCCTGCCTATCTCGGCTACCACTCCTGCCTACCTCGGCTACCACTCCTGCCTATCTCGGCTACCACTCCTGCCTACCTCGGCTACCACTCCTGGCTATCTCGGCTACCACTCCTGCCTATCTCGGTTACCACTCCTGCCTACCTCGGCTACCACTCCTGCCTACCTTGGCTACCACTCCTGCCTACCTCGGCTACCACTCCTGCCTACCTCGGCTACCACTCCTGCCTACCTCGGCTACCACTCCTGCCTACCTCGGCTACCACTCCTGCCTACCTCGGCTACCACTCCTGCCTACCTCGGCTACCACTCCTGCCTACCTCGGCTACCACTCCTGCCTACCGGCCTTACAGGCTCACTATAGCCCGTGTTGCATGGACATTTCGTTCTTTGTAGCTAAATCTAAAACAACAACATGCTGCCTACCTCGGCTACAACTCCTGCTTACCTTGGCTACCACTGCTGCCTACAGCGACCAACGGCTGCACATTTTCCCTGCCTACTTCGGTATGTTATTCCTCGATAGTACGTACAGCAATATGCACAAAATATGAACTGTTGTACACAAAATATTCCGTGTTGTACTATTTGTAAACTGACGGACATAACAAAAAAGCTACACCTTCCTAACTAATAACCTAATCTAACCAAATGAGGACTTGATCTAAATAAGCAATCCTAGGTCAAATGTGCTATTTTTTTAATATTTATTTTTGCTTCTAGGGAAGCAGGAAGCATAATATGTAATATGCTTCTAAGGGATGAGTCTTAGACATTATGTATGTGCCGCTTATTACATATCATTAATGTCTTAAACCAGTTATGCTTAAGTTATTTAGGTAGGAGAAACGTTCTTTAGGTAGGAACGTTTAGTTAATTCGACGTTTATAAACATAAGGGAGGGTAGAAATAGCCTAAACTACTCTATCCTTTTGAGAAGTATTTTATAGTCTCAATAAACGTACCTGAACTTGATCGGGCGGAAGTTGTAAATATTCACCGCTCTCTGTTCGATAATTCTTATATTAGGCTACTAAGAACATTGTTCGGTTTATAATGACTTAACAGTTAAAGAAAAATCAGTTGGAGTCATGAAGAGGATTCGAACCTATGCTCTTGGTACTCCCAAGCAACGCCCTAGACCACGACATGGTAAAAGCATTGCAACTTATGATCTGAATCCTCTAGGGTTCCTGAGGCTTCCACTGAAGCCTAACCAGAGCTTCAGTGGAAGGGGTACAATGGTTCCCCATGCACTCTGGCTTGTAGTCTAGGAATTCTACCTCCTATGTTTATCTTTAAATTTGTACTATTGGTATCCTCCTCACGGCGCCTACTGATTTTTTCATTGATACATTAAACTGATGTAATTTCTTTGTGTGTGTGTGTGTGTGTGCCTTAGCAGTTTATTTATCGTTATTACGTTACATCAAGCCGTTGACAATAATATGTATAGAAAGACAAGGTTAAAAGATGGTTACACGTTATTAATTCACCATATGTTACCTGCCATATGCTCTCTAGAAAATCAGCCACACTACAACTCCGTTTCATATGACTAAATGTAGATATGCAGCCAAATTAATACTAACTGCTCACAAACTGCTGTAGTCTCGTTGTCTTCTCATCATGCTCTGTTCAGTCTCAGTTCCTGTTTTCTCAGATAATACCCAATTTTGGACTTCTTGTAGTGTTCTTTCATTTCTACCGCCATGTTTATCACCATTAATTCATTCAACATTACCTAACTATCTCAGGAAATTGTCTTCACTATTGTGATTTACCGACTATTCTATATCATCTAACACAACACACGGCTCACAGATTCCTTATCTATAACTTAAAATCATGAGTTTTTCCACAACAGCGTCTCACATTCGTACATAAAGAACCTTTTCCATTAACTGTCTCATAGAAAGTGTCTGATTTAAACAATCTCTTCTATAACGGACCTCACTTTGTTCAACAATCATAAATTTCTCAGCTACCTCCTTAAACATTCTAATAAATATATGGTGCCATACTCTTTGGTGTGGAGATGTATAGTGATCCCATCATCCACCTATCATACAGTGGAACAACCAGCTCCGCTGCCCCCTGGTATAACAAGAGCAGTGGACCGAGGACCCATCAAGTTCAAGTTCAAGTATGTTTATTGAGATAAGAGAAAAATACATCTCAGAGGGATAGAGTAGCTTAGGCTATTTCTACCCCACTCAAGGATCCATCTTTCCAAGCCGCTCTTACGAAGGACAGTGACATTGGTTCATTTATACACTGTTTATTTACACATATGTTGAAAACTGAATGTTAAAATATACACAAACATATTTTAAAATTAGAATATGGGCTTAATTTAAAACATTTACAAACGTTACCAATGAAAATGAACAATTACAAAAAAATACATATTCTTTCAATGGTCAGTAACTATTCGATAAACACGGACAAGAGACACTAATATTCAAATTCAGTACTATTTAGTTTTTCAATTAATATTTTGTTATTCTTTATTATTCTTATTTTTTTTCTTTTACCATGGAAAGTATATATGTAGGAACTTTAACTGCATTATTACCCACAGTTCATCGCAATGAATTCAGAGAGTTAGTGGTGGTGGGAGACCAACACACTAACAATAATAATATAAACAAATCTAACACAACAAATCGCAAGGGTTATTACATTTTTTTATGAGAAATAAAAAATAAACTTAATTTATGAAACTAGATAATACAAAATATTAGAAACATTTACGGTGAACGATGCCTGGGCCGGACTCGTCGTACTCCTCCTTAGTAATCCACATGGACTGGAAGGTGGACAGAGAGGCCAGGATGGAGCCACCGATCCATACAGAGTACTTACGCTCGGGAGGAGCAATAATCTTGATCTTGATGGTTGAGGGAGCCAAGGATGTGATTTCCTTCTGCATGCGGTCAGCAATACCAGGGTACATGGTGGTACCACCAGACATGACAGTGTTTGCGTATAAGTCTTTTCTTATGTCAATGTCACATCTCATTATCGAGTTGAAAACTGTTTCGTGAATGCCCACAGACTCCATTCCTAAAAAGGATGGTTGAAAAAGTGCTTCAGGACATCGGAAACGTTCATTGCCAATAGTAATAACTTGCCCATCAGGGAGTTCATAGGACTTCTCTAAAGATGACGAAGCTGCGGCAACATTCATTTCACCCTCGAAGTCGAGAGCAACATAACACAGTTTTTCCTTTACATCGCGAACTATTTCACGTTCAGCAGTTGTTGTAAAGGAGTAGCCACGTTCCGTGAGAATCTTCATCAGGTAATCAGTTAAATCACGCCCAGCCAGATCGAGACGAAGGATAGCGTGGGGCAAAGCATAACCCTCGTAGATGGGGACAGTGTGGGACACTCCATCACCGGAGTCCAGCACGATACCTGTGGTACGACCAGAGGCGTACAGAGACAGCACGGCCTGGATGGCCACGTACATGGCAGGGGCTGCAAAAGTTTCAAACATGATCTGTGTCATCTTCTCACGGTTGGCCTTGGGGTTGAGGGGAGCCTCCGTCAGGAGGACTGGAGACTCCTCAGGGGCAACACGAAGCTCATTGTAGAAGGAGTGATGCCAGATCTTCTCCATGTCGTCCCAGTTGGTGATGATGCCGTGCTCGATGGGGTACTTGAGAGTCAGGATACCTCTCTTGCTCTGGGCCTCATCACCGACGTAGGCGTCCTTCTGACCCATACCGACCATCACACCCTGGTGACGAGGACGGCCGACGATGGAGGGGAAGACGGCGCGGGGAGCGTCGTCACCAGCGAAGCCGGCCTTGACCATGCCGGAGCCATTGTCCACAACCAATGCACAAGCTTCGTCGTCGCACATTCCTGTAGGTCTTTTCGCCTCTGAAAAGAATCATGTGCAAATTAATTTTATATGATAATTACAGTTGTAGCTAAGGGTTTGTCTTCATAACTGCTATGTATTATAAAAGTATTTGTTGCTCTAAATCAAATTGAAACAGGCTTTTAATTCACTTACATTGAATATAGTTAATCCTGGGTACCTTAGACTAAGGCAAATTAATTTATTTACGTGTGTCTACTATTTCTGTACACGAACGAAAATTAAATGAGACAAAATTTAACTTGTAAAATGGAAACGTCCTGCTATGTACGTGCGTTGTGCGTTATGTCTCCTCAGGATGCTTACATGAGCCTTTTATACCCGGGTCAGGTAAAAATACTGGGCCAGTATGACCATACCTGGCGCTGCCTGCCTCGCGCCCAATACACTCAGCTCTTATCTGTGACTAAAGACCACGTTGCTGGTACCCTGCTGCCTTAGGTGAGTGGCTGAGATGATAAGCCAGTCGTGCCTTCCTCCATCCCAGTGCTCGTAGCGCCCCGCTCTCTAAAACCATCCACATATCTCCACTTGCATAAACACGCTACCATAGTCATAATCTCTTATAATATCCTCACCACACCCAATATCACACCTCTCAACCAACATCACCCCCCTCCCACTCACTATTATTCCCAAAGACCACCCAAACATCACCTCTACACATCACCCTACACAACCACTCAAACATCACCACCTTCCTCACCGCCATTCCATCATTCCCTACCAACTCGCTCCATCCAGCCCATCTTCCCAAGTTTTTTAGTACGTCAAGAAACTGTTGTACAAAAGTACGCTTATCCTAACCTCCTAAAGAACCCAAAACAGAAAATGAGACTGTCAATTTCGCGAGCCGCTACCATTTTCTAGTACGACAATTTTTGCCTTTAAGTAGAGTATACGTCAAAATGCGATGTTCTATTAGGATGACGAGTTGAGGAAGGGCGATGGTGCACTCCTACACAACATAACTTTCACACCACCTGGTGCGCCATTCCCTCCCTCAGCCAAAACTCAAAAATATTTTATCTTCATCCTTGCCTACATCTATTACCCAGACCTGAAGATTAACCCGGTGGGTGACACTTATCCCTTACCCCAAGCCTTACAGACATTCAACATGTTTACTCGAGCATTCTCGAGAATGGGCGAATTCTGTCGAAAAAACAGTTTGACGCTAAAATATATTGCTAGAAATGTACTAGGAACAATGCTAGAAATGAAACAAGGAACATTAAAAATATATAGCCTCAATTATTTTGAATTGTATTATAAGCGGCTTCTGTGTGCGTCTTGCTCGTGGTAATTCTCCCGCCTGACTCCTTCACCTATGTTGCTTCTGTTTGTCTAAACAGCCACAACAGAGCACCGAGGGAGCTAAAATTAAAGTATTAGATCACAATACAGTACTGTATATTATAAACGCAAAATTATATACATAATCTTAACAATTCAGTGCAAGGAATTTACGTATTCCCTTGGTTTGATATTGGGTTGAATGCCTATCATCCTCTGCAGGTAGCAACACCTGACCAGTGATTCATTAATATTATTAATTAAAAGCAATAAACTTGGAAGCTCCATTCACAAAAGCGCCATTCTCCATTCACATTCATCCATCCATTTTTTTTTTCAATAAAAAACAAGGGGTTAGGCTGCTGGATTAACGAGCATTTGACCTTTGTTTATGAGGCCGGGCTGGACTGTAAGCAGGAATCTTGACGACGTCCGCTATGACAACGTTCGCTATACATTCCGCTTCATTGGCCTGGAGAGGCTACAGGGATCTCATCCCTCTTTTCTATTTCCCGGTGTCGGGCCGCCGGGGCGCATCTAGTCCCTCGATCGTCGTCGCCCCTCAATCAACAACATAGCAGGATTTTTGAGTTCGTAGTCTGAAGCCCATATGTTCTAAAAAATAATTTCTAACCATTGCGACATGCAGAAAGCTGACTCTATGGTGGTAGTCAACTTAGAGGAGCCAACACCTTAGATGTCATGGTGATGGTTAATGAGTGTTAAGAGAAGAGAGAGAACTATCGGGAGAAAGTGCCGAGCCATTATGACTATTTAGCACTTGGAAGGGATCAGGATAAGGATTTGGGATGGAACGGGATGGGACGGGGGTGAGGAATGGTGCCCAACCACTTGGACGGTTGGAGATTGAACGCCGACCTGCATGAAGCGAGACCGTCGCTCTACCGTCCAGCCCAAGTGAGTGTTAAGAGACAGGTGGCAGGAAGGTGGAAGGCAAGTGACAGGTGTATGTGCAGTCGATGGCTGGGCAAAAATATAGGAATTATGGGCGTCAAGGCGGCGGGAAAGATGTGTGGTAAGGTGGTAGATGGCAGCGAGCCAGTTTGATACGATAGTGGTATGCGATACACAAGCAAAATATGGGATGTGCAGCAGGAGACGCCCATCAAACCTTACATGTTCCCGCCAGGCTTAAGGTTAAAGCCACTCCAATATAGGCATGATGCGAACTCTGTTGTTCACTAGAAGGTGGGAATTTGGTGTAATAAGTGAAATTACTCGTTGGAATAAAAGGGGAAGTTATATCATCTTCACTGTAGTAGTTCTCCAGACTTGACCTAGTAAATGAGCTGAGCTCCGTCAGGTTAAAGACCTTAAAAGTGAGAATAATGAAAGGGGTACGGGACCTGGAAGTAGGTGGGGGGCTTGGGAACGTGTGACCTGGTAGGTGTTAACCCATGAACATCCTGAGGATGATTTTTCTTACTTTTAGTAACTGTAACGCGAGAAAATAAGTCATCGAAGCCTATCACAACAAAGCATGTATTGCATCACATCAAACATCATTCCATCCCAACACAGCAAAGTCCGGGTCAGGTGACGGCCACATCTTCCCCTTACATAGAAGTAATCGCGTATTACATCCACTTCGAAGTACATACATGCAAAATAAAATATATAAATTAGTAAAGAAACAAATTTTGTCTCGTTGTTCATTGACTTGTGTATAATTCTGAAGGGATGTAAAATGTGTACTAACCACATTGAAATTTTGCTTAAAGATGCTCTTGATTGGTTTTGCTCTTCCTTTAGTAAATAAAACTTTAAGATATATTTTCAATAAATCGTCTGTAACGACCTTCTCGAGTCAGGATGAGTGACTTATCAGATTCCCTTTAATTTTGAAGTGATTTATGAGTCAAGGACGAAAAGAGAGAGAGAGAGAGAGAGAGAGAGAGAGAGAGAGAGAGAGAGAGAGAGAGAGAGAGAGAGAGAGAGAGAGAGAGAGAGAGAGAGAGAGAGAGAGAGAGAGAGAGAGAGAGACTATGGGCATGTATAGTCTGTGTCACTATGGACATGTATAGTCTGTGTCACTATGGACATGTATAGTCTGTGTCACTATGGACATGTATAGTCTGTGTCACTATGCACATGTATAGTCTCTGTCACTATGGACATGTATAGTCTGTGTCACTGCACATGTATAGTCTGTGTCACTATGGACATGTATAGTCTGTGTCACTATGGACATGTATAGTCTGTGTCACTATGCACATGTATAGTCTGTGTCACTATGGACATGTATAGTCTGTGTCACTGCACATGTATAGTCTGTGTCACTATGGACATGTATAGTCTGTGTCACTATGCATATGAATAGTCTGTGTCGCTGGACATGTATAGTCTGTGTCACTATGGACATGTATAGTCTGTGTCACTATGAGAGTTTCTAGTTCATTATCTGCTGTACCTGTCACTTTAGTGCGTATCTTCCTGAGGCAATATATGGACGTCAACAGCCTAGGTTCATCTTATTGAAGCGGCTGTTCAAATTCTAGATATTAAATGTTTTCAGTCTTTTTGTGGAAAAAATCAGAGCTCAAAGGACTACTAGAACCTAGTGATGCTTCGTTTATTGGCAAGTGGAGGAACGGGGGAAGATAAGGGTCGGAGAGTTCACTAATTACCATAAAGTTTGTGTATTAAACGTCACTGTTAAACGAGGAATGTGTCAAAAAAACTCTTTTCCCTTGAATAAATTTGTGACTGGTGGTAGAGGCTGACAAGGCGCCCACGCACCACCTGTGTCACAGTGGCGGAGGGTCAATAAATAATATAAAAATAACTAATAATATTTCTTGAATATATATAGGTAATAAATGTTAATCTTTAATTTAAAAAAAATGATGTTAAATGTTATAAGTAACAAATAATATTACATATATCTCTCAGCATTAACTTATCGGGCTTTAATTAAATTAAATGTTTCAAATACGATAGCAATAACAAATAATATTGGTTGTATATATTGAGATTAACAGATAACATGCAGTAAGTAGCCTAATGAAGTGGGTAGGGATGAATTGTATTCACATCCATTGGTATTTACAATATTTACTGGGCCCCAAGATTGCTCTCCTTTAAATAATTATATTATTTCTAAACGTAAACAAATATATTAGTGGTCTGTATAAGTCTTTAAATCTAAAGCCAATACTTCTTTGAAGTTCAAATCTCGCTTGCTACTTAAAAAAATATAGATTTGCTCTCTAGCATGTTGTCAATAAAATAATTACCATCTTGTTTCGTTTTCAGTTTAATTTCGGAATGAACTTAGCCCCGAAATCATCTCAAGATAACCTCAAGATAAGAACCCACCTGCTATCAGCGCTATGATTTTGAGAGTAAAATATTGCAATAGGCTAGCAAGTTTCAGCAGCCTCGTCGATATTTCAATTCAGATTATAATCAACCTGGAACCACGCATGATACCATAAGGTTCGTTTCTAATATTGATACATAATTGAACTAAATTCTCGCAATGTGGTTCTCAATCAAATGTTACGGCTTAGTTAATAGTTATAACAATTAATGATAGTTTTTGAAGACAGAATTTAGACCCGTTTGTAAGAGAGTTGAAATAGCTGTATATGTCATACCTTCCCTTGACGAGCGTAAAAAATATTTTGAAATACGTATAAACAATACATCATAATACACCATTATTGTTGAGCTCGTTTTATATAAAATCAAAATAGGGGGTGCAACAAAGTTCTCACAAACAATGCCAAATTGGTCTTGAAAAATGGGTAATTAAAGCAATTACCGCTAAATGCAACGATAGTTCACCTTCATCCAAATAAACGAACTTGGTAAACATAAGATTGTCATGCTTCATATTTTTGTTATATATTAAACAGTTATAAATGACAGAATATGACAAAAATTGTGTTTAACGATCAAAGTTGCATGTCGACATTTTAAGGAGTGACGACGTCAGTTGACGTGGCGACGTGCGGGGGAGGTGACGCGCGCTGTCTCCGTCCTGTCCTGTCCCCGTCCAGACGGATGGACCCGCTATTACCCGTAGCATAGACGGGCGGCTAGTGAAGTGCTGTAGACGGGCGGCTAGTGAAGTGCTGTAGACGGGCGGCTAGTGAAGTGCTGTAGACGGGCGGCTAGTGAAGTGCTGTAGACGGGCGGCTAGTGAAGTGCTGTAGACGGGCGGCTAGTGAAGTGCTGTAGACGGGCGGCTAGTGAAGTGCTGTAGACGGGCGGCTAGTGAAGTGCTGTAGACGGGCGGCTAGTGAAGTGCTGTAGACGGGCGGCTAGTGAAGTGCTGTAGACGGGCGGCTAGTGAAGTGCTGTAGACGGGCGGCTAGTGAAGTGCTGTAGACGGGCGGCTAGTGAAGTGCTGTAGACGGGCGGCTAGTGAAGTGCTGTAGACGGGCGGCTAGTGAAGTGCTGTAGACGGGCGGCTAGTGAAGTGCTGTAGACGGGCGGCTAGTGAAGTGCTGTAGACGGGCGGCTAGTGAAGTGCTGTAGACGGGCGGCTAGTGAAGTGCTGTAGACGGGCGGCTAGTGAAGTGCTGTAGACGGATACACAAGGAAGGGCTGGACGTCTCGCTTAGATGTCAAAGGTAAGTTAACAAAGTTGAATTGTCAAGAAATAATGGCTCAGCGACTGTAAATCTATAATACCAATATAATATATTCGGGTTCCATTAAAAGTTTTAACATTTCACAAACTTTGTGAAGTCAAATTTATGAATCGCATATCCATTCGTCAGATATTTAAATTATTTTTAATAATTTAAAAGGGCATTATAGGTTTTAAATGTCTGATCATTATTTAATTATTAATATTGTAAGCAATCCTATATTAATTCCCTTATTAATGTACACTGGACTAAGCCAAGATTGTATATACATTCATATGAATGTATAGATATAAAGACATTACTCCTGGCGCCGTAGCTAATTTCGTACTCTATGGAATTAGCCTTTTTTTTGGTAAGGAAAATATACATCATTTAATGGTATAACAATTCTCTGTCACAAATGTTGATAGACGAGATGCTGACAGTATATGAACAGCTTGAGGTAAGAGTTTGGGAAATGGAAATGACTGTCTTAGATGAATGTGTACTAGTTAGAATGTGTACATAATGACTTAGATGTTATGTGTACTAGTTAAATTATGTATGTTTGCTGACCGTTATGTGTGCAGTTTTAGTTGAATGTGATGTGTATTTGTTGAATATGATGTATGTTGAATATGTGTGTGTGATGTGTCTGAGTTGAATGTTATGTGTATTAGTTCAATGTTTGTTATGCGTATGTGTTGAATGTTTGTTTTGTGTATCAGTTCAATGTCACGTGTTTTAGTTCAGCGTTTGTTATGTGTATTAGTTGAATGTTGATGATAATTCAACTACTGTAGTTGAATTAGTTAAATGTTAATGTATGTGACATTCAACTAATTTCACTTACAGTAGTTGAATGTGTGTGAATTAATTGAATCGTATATGTGCATTAGTTGAATGTTAATGAATTTATTGAATGTTTGTTCAATGTCATGTGTTTTAGCTCAATATTTATGTGTATTAGTTGAATGTTTGTTATGTGTATTAGTTGAATGTTTTTTTATGTGTATTAGTTGAATGTTTTTTTATGTGTATTAGTTGAATGTTTTTTATGTGTATTAGTTGAATGTTTTTTATGTGTATTAGTTGAATGTTTTTTTATGTGTATTAGTTGAATGTTTTTTATGTGTATTAGTTGAATGTTTTTTATGTGTATTAGTTGAATGTATTTTATGTGTATTTGTTGAATGCAAATACATCAATTTAAACTGAAAATGTTCCAATAAAGAAGCACTAATTGTTTTGCTTGAGATGATTAAGAGAAAACCCACTTGTCTTTGTGCTAGAATAAACCGCATTCTTAAGACTAAAATAACAATCACCTTCTGTGGTTGATAGTTCAATAAACCCCTGAACTATGTTTAACAAATCTCTAACCCTGTCCATGGAGGACAGAAGAAATTGTACATATTCTGGTTAGCATTGTAAATGTGTGGCCACCTCTGTGGTAGAAAATAATAATAATAATACAAAAATACTAAAATGTCAGTACATTTCTATCTGTGTTGACTCTGGCCTGACAGGTTGTGGTCAGCTGTGAAGGTTGGTGGTTGATACCTCAGCCAGGTATCAACCAGATGCTGCCCAAAAATAGCCCCTCATTTTGTGTTGCCATATTTTAGTTGTATTATTAATGCATTTAGAATTTATTGGGCAATTGGATACATTTTAGCAATTTAACTATAATGAATCCATGATTCATTTTAATTAGGCTACCGAGTATTTCTGCCTTTAAGTTGATAATAATCGTAATATCGTAAATACATTTTCAGGGTATTGTAATACAGGTGGTGAAAAGTATGTTTATTGAACTCCTAAAGTGAGAAAGTATACTGATGACTTCTACAATAGGCACCTGATATTAATTACATTGTATGACGAGAATTTGACAAAAACCCTTATAAATTTTGCACTAAAAAAAAAAAAGACAATTTTTTATAGGGATTTTAGTAATTAGTAATCATTTAGGATTTCTGTAACTATGTTTTGACACTCGTGAACCTAAATACAAGTCCAAGTTTAGTTTACATCGCATTACTGCCAAGAGCACACAGGCGCACGTGCGCATGTATTTGGTTTTTGTATTCGTTAGGCACTGCGCCAGAACTACTGTTCATCCTGTGTTAAGAAGAAAAATAACTTAAAACCTGTTATGACCCAGATAAAATCTGGGTCATATCAGGTTGTTAATATATAAAGAGAGTGCTTTATTTCAGCACCTCCTAATGAGATTTCCTCCCGTCGGCAATTTGAGATTTTAAGAAAGAAACGGAAATTATTGTACTTGAATCCTTCAAAATTATGACAGAAAAGTAAATGTTTAAAATTCATTTTGCTTCTGTTTTGATTTTTAGTTAGTTGAAATACGTTAGGTTACCATCAGTAGCTGATTAAATTAGTGAATGCCTAGACTACCAGGTATATTTTATCCTGTACCATATCCACACATTGTACCTTGAAAAGTATTACAATTCTTCAAAACATAACTGATGATAGGCTGACTGTTGATTTTATATTAGAAAAAATATGGTTAATTTTATCTGTAAATAATATGCCTCGTAGATTCCTCAGGCTAAATATTTTTATGATTGTCACAGGAAAAATGCTCTACGGAAATTTAAGTGAAAAAATGGGGCAATGAAAAATCTATTTAAATTAGGATTAATATTTTTTGTTGAATTCAATGTGGAATCAATTTGTATAAGGTAGTGTCTGCTGTTGCTTATAGAGCATTGATTGGTGAAACTCAATATATAGCTGGAAATAAATATTTAAGAAGCATTTTTTTGTTTCCAAGTGTTTTTTATGGTTTTCAAATACGGCACTTTATTATGAAAAAATAACTTTTTCTTGAAATGTGATTTGTACTGTGTGTATTAAGGATTGTGGTGTGTTAATAATGTAAAGTTTCATCCCATTCATTAAGAATTATTACAAATATGTAAAGCTGGTGTGAATAAAACAGTGCATTGTCACGAAAATAACGTTTATTAATTTAGCTCTAGAGCCACAGGGAAAGTATTGGGAGCGCTACCCATTTATTGTACCTTAAATACAAGTAACTAAATAATAAATGGATCACAGAAAATAATAAATCTGAAGACTCAACAGCACGGCTCTGCATTTATATGGTTTGGAAAGTTTTGGCACACGAAAGACAAAATGTTAAGCTCTGGTTCCAATAATATGCAATGTGGTCGCCACAAACTGGACACGGCGCCCTCCATCGTGGTTATTAGACTTGTATAATGACATTGTTTACTGCCAGTGTGTCATCAGAGCCTGTGCAGGGAGAGTCTTGAGCTACACTGTGCCCTGAGAGCCTGTGCAGAAGGTTCCTTGGACGACACTGTACCATAAAGTTTATGGTACTGTATGGTACAGTTGATGCCCATAGGATAAAAAAATAATATTATAATAGATATAATAATGGAAATTAGAAACACTTGCGGTGAACAATTCCGGGACCAGACTCGTCGTACTCTTCCTTGGTAATCCACATAGACTGGAAGGTGGAGAGAGAGCCGAGAATGGAACCACCGATCCAGACAGAATACTTGCGCTCAGGGGGAGCAATAATTTTAATCTTGATAGAAGAAGGAGCAAGATTTGTGAGTTCCTTTTGCATGCGGTCAGCAATACCAGGGTACATGGTAGTCCCACCTGACAAAACTTCGTTGGAATAGAGATCCTTTCTTATATCGATGTCGCATTTCATGATGGAATTGTAGACAAACTCATGAATGCCAATAGCCTCCATACCAATGAGCGATGGCACGAAAAGCGCTTCCGGAGCGCGGAAGCGTTCGTTACCAATGGTGATAATCTGACCGTCAGGAAGTTCGTAAGATTTTTCTAATGATGACGAAACAGCAGCTTGTTTCATTTCATCATCAAACTCAAGGGCAACGTAGCATAGTTTCTCCTTAACGTCTCGCACAATCTCGCGTTCTGCACTAGTGGTAAAAGAATAACCACGTTCAGTAAGGATTTTCATCAAATAATTCGTAAGGTCACGACCAGCAATATCAAGACGCAAGATAGCATGGGGCAAGGCAAAGCCTTCGAAGATAGGAACACAGTGAGTCACGCCATCGCCCGAATCAAGAACAATACCAGTGGTGCGACCGGAAGCGTATAATGATAATACGGCTTGAATGGCAACGTATGTTGTCGGAACACCAAAGGTCTCGAACATGATCTGTGTCATTTTTTCCCTGTTAACTTTTGGGTTCATTGGGGCTTCAGTAAGGAGGACAGGGGACTCCTCAGGGGCGACACGCAGTTCGTTGTAGAAAGTGTGATGCCAGATTTTCTCCATGTCGTCCCAATTGGTGATGATGCCGTGCTCAACAGGATATTTCAGACTGAGGATACCTCTCTTGCTTTGGGCCTCATCACCGACGTAGGCGTCCTTCTGACCCATACCGACCATCACACCCTGGTGACGAGGACGGCCGACGATGGAAGGGAAGACAGATCGGGGAGCGTCGTCACCGGCAAAACCGGCTTTGACCATGCCGGAGCCATTGTCAACAACTAGTGGGCATGTTTCCTCGTCACACATGGTGGCCCTCTATCCTGAAATTACAATAAAAAAAATTAACCCAGGCAAATTAGAGTTCACAACAAAGCGCGGAAAATATATGAGGAAAGTCCACAGAGAAATAAGAAAAGGAGATGAACGTTTCGGCCGATCAGGGCCATTGTCAACTTGTCAACATCAGTCTGGTGTTGACAGCGGCCTTGATCGGCCGAAACGTTCGTCTCCCTTTCTGATTTCTCTGTGGATTTTCCGCGTACAAATGATCAGTGTTTCGTGATCGTCAATTGCATATATATATATATTTGTATATAATTTAATTTAATATAATATAAAATATTTTATACTATAATATATATATATAATATAATATAATAATTCTGTATTATATTATATAATTTAATATATTATATAATATTTATATAATTTAAATAATATAATTTCCAGCGCCTCAGTGTCGCAGTTCCTCCCCCGCGACAGCAGCTTGATAATTAAATGAGACCTCAGAATATTGAAAAGAATTCCTGAACAAAAAATTGTACCACTTACGGGCTATTCATTCTCGTGCCACCTCTTGGGTGGCTTAATCTTTATCAATCAATCAATCTATCGCAGTTCAGAGGTGAAATGCGTGCTGCATCTTGGGAACGCACCCGACCTCCAAAGAGCTGGACGACATCTTCGAACACTTGATTTTTATGTTGTTATATATGTGTGTGTGTGTTCTCTGTAAACTGTAGCAATGCAATAAAATATAATAAAATAATACAAAATTAACAACAAAATAATAGGGGTGGTAGGAGAAGAAAAGATTGAAGTGTTCAGTGAGAATTCACAAGGTCTTCCCTGAATACTCTTGATTTTCTTCTTCGTGGCGGTGGGTCCCTACAATTGCACCAGAGGTGGTACCCCTAATTTATATAATATATATATATATAATATATATAATATATATCTATATATCATGTATATTATAGTTTATAAAGAGAATGAACGACGTCTGGGGATAGAAGCTTTGGGCTAGCCTCACCAAACTTTGCAGGTTGACTGGTCTTTTGTTTGGGAATGGTCATAGGTGGGTCGCGGCCAAGCCCTGTGCCCACTCTTTGCATGAAATAACAGATCATACTAATTTCTTATCTAAATTAGACTCTTTCACTGTGGTTAGAAAGATGACGTGAAAATGGTGAAGAGTAGAGATGGTTGTGAAGGGTAGGGAAGACGGTGAAGGGTTTGGAAGCTGGTGAAGGATTGGTAGAGTGGTGGAGTGTAGGTGTGTAGGGAATGTGATGAAGGGTTGGGAGGGTGGTGAAAGGTAAGGAAGGATGTGGAGAAGGTAAGTTATGAAGGGTCAGAAAGGTGGTAAAAGGTACGGAAGGTGGTGAAAACCAAGGAAAGAGTTGAAGTTAGGGAAGGTGGTGAAGGAGAGGAAATGTAGTGAAGGGTAAGAATGGTGGTGAAGAGTAGGGAAGGTGGCAAAGGAGAAGGAAGGTGTGTATTAGTGTGTTGGAAAGAAGATTATAGTAATAAAAATGGTGTACAGAGAAGATGGTTACAGTAACAAAGATGGTGTATAGAGAAGTTAGTTACATTAATGGAGATAGTAGGTAGTAAAGATGGTTACAGTGATTTTTTTTTGCAGGGATATTCCTACGCGGGCCCTAACCCTCTGGGTGATCCACTAAGTGTTCGTTGTTTCTGCTTTACCTGGGCGGAGTATGAGTATTTATGACTGGTATGGTCGCTCCAGTAAGCTTTTGTCCCATATGTTTAACAACTGCTCTGTTGAATCTAAGGTGCAATCTTAATGGGTTCGTAACTCTGCACTGTGTTAGATTATGTTCCAATGGTCTGTCGGGCATTTCTCCACAGTGCTGAGGTTACAGGGATGAAGATAGTACGTAGGGAAGATGTAGTGTCCGTCACCCGAGTAACGCCGGGTATTCCCTCTAGTATGCATGGATATATATATATATATATATATATATATATATATATATATATATATATATATATATGTATGTATATATATATATATATATATATATATATATATATATATATATATATATATATATATATATATATATATATATATATCAGTTGCATATTGTCCTGGGGACCATTCAGGCTTGTTCGCATATATATATATGCGAACAAGCCTGAATGGTCCCCAGGACAATATGCAACTGAAAACTCACACCCCAGAAGTGACTCGAACCCATACTCCCAGAAGCAACGCAACTGGTATGTACAAGACGCCTTAATCCACTTGACCATCACGACCGGACATAATGAGGTGATAGCCGAGGCTATTTGAACCACCCCACCGCCGGCACTCGGATAGTAATCTTGGGCATAGCATTTTACCAAATCACCTCATTCTTTGGGGCACACGTGAGGAACACAAATGCGAACAAGCCTGAATGGTCCCCAGGACAATATGCAACTGAAAACTCACACCCCAGAAGTGACTCGAACCCATACTCCCAGAAGCAACGCAACTGGTATGTACAAGACGCCTTAATCCACTTGACCATCACGACCGGACATAATGAGGTGATAGCCGAGGCTATTTGAACCACCCCACCGCCGGCACTCGGATAGTAATCTTGGGCATAGCATTTTACCAAATCACCTCATTCTTTGGGGCACACGTGAGGAACACAAATGCGAACAAGCCTGAATGGTCCCCAGGACAATATGCAACTGAAAACTCACACCCCAGAAGTGACTCGAACCCATACTCCCAGAAGCAACGCAACTGGTATGTACAAGACGCCTTAATCCACTTGACCATCACGACCGGACATAATGACCATCATGTCCTGGGGACCATTCAGGCTTGTTCGCATTTGTTGTTCCTCACGTGTGCCCCAAAGAATGAGGTGATTTGGTAAAATGCTATGCCCAAGATTACTATCCGAGTGCCGGCGGTGGGGTGGTTCAAATAGCCTCGGCTATCACCTCATTATGTCCGGTCGTGATGGTCAAGTGGATTAAGGCGTCTTGTACATACCAGTTGCGTTGCTTCTGGGAGTATGGGTTCGAGTCACTTCTGGGGTGTGAGTTTTCAGTTGCATATTGTCCTGGGGACCATTCAGGCTTGTTCGCATTTGTGTTCCTCACGTGTGCCCCAAAGAATGAGGTGATTTGGTAAAATGCTATGCCCAAGATTACTATCCGAGTGCCGGCGGTGGGGTGGTTCAAATAGCCTCGGCTATCACCTCATTATGTCCGGTCGTGATGGTCAAGTGGATTAAGGCGTCTTGTACATACCAGTTGCGTTGCTTCTGGGAGTATGGGTTCGAGTCACTTCTGGGGTGTGAGTTTTCAGTTGCATATTGTCCTGGGGACAATTAAGGCTTGTTCGCATTTGTGTTCCTCACGTGTGCCCCAAAGAATGAGGTGATTTGGTAAAATGCTATGCCCAAGATTACTATCCGAGTGCCGGCGGTGGGGTGGTTCAAATAGCCTCGGCTATCACCTCATTATGTCCGGTCGTGATGGTCAAGTGGATTAAGGCGTCTTGTACATACCAGTTGCGTTGCTTCTGGGAGTATGGGTTCGAGTCACTTCTGGGGTGTGAGTTTTCAGTTATATATATATATATATATATATATATATATATATATATATATATATATATTAACAGTCCAGTTATGTACATAATGAGCGTCTTAGTCTGATATATTAAAGGAAATTTAAGGAACTGTGTTCAACAGTTTTAGTAGCAAAAAATATAGGTATAAAGTACATAAATTGTGTTAACTGATAATGAAGTGATTTTAATATATTTTATTATATAATCGCAATTATATTTAAAATTTAATAGGGTGGGAATAGTTTTCCACAAATTCCTTCTCTTCTATTCAAACGCCGCTGTAATTCAATAAGTCTTCACCATTGAAAATTCATGAGTCTTTCCTAGAGTGTGTGACTGTGAGAGTGAGCTGGGGCCAGATTCACGAAAGCACTTATGTAAACACTTACGAACCTGTACATCTTTTCTCAATCTTTGGCAGTTTTGTTTACAATTATTAAACAGTTAATGAGCTCCGAAGCACCAGGAGGCTGTTTATAACAAAAACAACAGAGGAATGGAAAGTTTTCATGCTTGGAAACTGTTTAATAAATGTAACCAAAGCCGTCAAAGATTGAGGAAAGATGTACACGTTCGTAGGTGCTTGCGTAAGTTCTTTCATGAATCTGGCCCCTGGACTTGTTGCTTACCAAAAGATGATTAACGCATCATCTTTTATGCTGCGTTAATCATTATTTGTAGTTGATCATTGTTTTGAATCGCACAGTCTTAATCACTGACGCCAATCCTTACTTTCTGTTTCGTAGTCAATTCACCTTTAATACAAAGGTGATGTATTAAATGACTAGTGTATGCTAATGATGATGACATTACCGTACACTAGTATTACGTCTGAACATATTATATCATTTGTTTGTAACTACAGGAAATACCCAACGCATAGGTTCGAATCCCCATCACGGCTCTTGTGGATTTTCTTTTTAGAGGAACATATGTCAGTCTCTTATTATTATTGGGGTCATTCATATTCTCATTCATTTCGTATCATCCATTCAGTCATATGATACCCAAACCGGTTTAGCATGTTGTAAATTATTAGGCCCATTCAATCATTATTTTGCAATTATTCTATGATATTAACCTATCGGCCGGTCGGCCGAGCAGACAGCACACTGGACTTGTGATCCTGTGGTCCCGGGTTCGATCCCGGGCGCCGGCGAGAAACAATGGGCAAAGTTTCTTTCACCCTATGCCCCTGTTACCTAGCAGTAAAAATAGGTACCTGGGTATTAGTCAGCTGTCACGGGCTGCTTCCTGGGGGTGGAGGCCTGGTCGAGGACCGGGCCGCGGGGACACTAAAAGCCCCGAAATCATCTCGAGATAACCTATAAATGAACCTTTTTTAACACCTTTTTGATCTAAAACCAGCATTTATATCGTATTAATGTGATAATAACGACCAGCCTGCGTCTAAAGAAAGAAAGCAAACACTAACCGGTGCATGTTCGTGCCAGCATTCTCTGCAACAACAAAATCATGAATCTTTACGCAGCCCTCAACCCTGTCACACGCAGTCAACCGCTTACAATTACTGTCACACCATGTACACTACACGCAGTCACCGTCACACTGTCATGGCACATAGTCACAACGGCACTGTTACACAGTCACAACGTCACTGTTACACACAGTCACAGCGTCACTCACAATGTTACTGGCACATAGTCGCAACGTCACTGTTACACAGTCACAACGACACTCACCGTCACAACGTCACTCACATACAGTCACAACGTCACTATTACACAGTCACAACGTCACTCACATGCAGTCACAAAGTCACTCACATACAGTTACAACGTCACTTACACACAGTCACAACGTCACTATTACACACAGTCACAACGTCACTCACATACAGTCACAACGTCACTTACACACAGTCACAACGTCACTCACATACAGTCACAACGTCATTGTCGCATACAGTCACAACGTCACTGTCGCATACAGTCACATCATCATCGTCACTGTCACAACGTCACTGTCACATCCCAAAACAAAAATCCCCTGTATAAGAATACTAAAGATAGTTGCTTAAACATCATGTTAACAATATGCACATTTAAACAAAACATAATTTCGGGGCCATCTACATTTACTCAACCCTTCCCCCACCCCCCAAAAATATCAGAGGGGGTTAAAAATAATCTTTCATACATATGGATATAATTTTAGCTGTAATTAATAATTTCTGAATTAATGAATCCAGCACAACTCACCGTTCAGAAGCACACTCTCAACACCCACGCAAACTAACCTGCACCCACACGCGTGGATACCTGCCCACACCGGATAGATAGCAACCTGAGCCTGTAGCAGACTAGAGGCTTTTCTCAGCTCTTGCTTCTTTTATACCCATCCCCAGCCAAAACCCAGCACCACCCGGGCGTACGTTGGTAAAAATTTGCTCCACATCAGATCATGCGGGGGGGCTTTGGTTCTTTGGACTGAAACATTCCTTAGCAAATTTATAGCAATTCAAACCAGGTTCATGGTGAACAAAAATACAACATTAATCTCAAGACCTTCACGTGCTAATGCAGCCATAGCTTTGTGGAAACTGTGGTGTGTTTGCATCTTCCATATATATATATATATATATATATATGGAAGATATATATATATATAGTATATATATATAAAACTTACACATAAGACCGGCAGCTGAGGGTAGGTGGGTGTAAATCAGAATCATGTAGGTGGTTCGCTGCACCGTACATTCCTTTACCTTCACCAAACTCTTACGACGTCACCCACACAAGGTCAAAAGTTTGGCAGCTAGTCAAGTCCTGATCATCGTTCTTCCGAGGGTAATTCACAACACCCACCGGTTTAGAAGTGGTAACTCGACGCAGACAAGGCACTAAGTTCTCAGCCAATCGTGGGATTTCAAATTCCATTCAATTTCTTCTTGACTGACCAGGTGACTGTTATTTTGGAGATTGACGGGGTTAGTAAGCACACCTTTAAATATATGAACTTAGTCGAACCAAAAATGTTTCGTTAAAAAAATAAAATTTTAATTGAAAGCAAGGTTGGGATATGAGTTGCAGTCATCAAAATCTAGAAAGGTGTTTGTATAACGACTGGGGTGTGTACGAACCAGCCCAAGACACGGATAATAACAACTAAGGGAAAACTTGGCGCAGGTAACTATTGTGAGGGAGAATAATCTGGCCGCGGTTTGCTACCTGCGTTCTTAGCGCTCCCCGTGATAGCTGGCTGACCAGGTACGAGCCACCACCGACTGTGAGTCTTCCTTTGTTGCTGCTTCGCTTGTCTTCCTCCTCACTCACTGCCGCTACACTCTTCCTCTCAACGTTGTTTTTTTGCTCTTTATTCAGCTCTTCAGTGTTGTAATGTTATTTGCATTCGTTTTCAGTAATTATTCTCAATGTGATTTATCTTCATTTCTGATTAAAGTTATTTCACAGAGCTGGAGAAATAGTGTGATATAATAATATTATAATATGCAGTAATCCTATTTCTAAATAATATTTAGCAATATGATGCTAAATATTGCTTTAGTGTGTCAATGGGCAATCAGATACATTATGCTTTCTGTATTTATTTGTTAATAGATTGAGAGTAGAAGCTTGTTAGTCTTAAATGCGGTCACAATGATCGAAGTATCTCACGTTATTGTATATGTCAAAGTATATACAGAGTTTTCCGCAGTTGTTAAAGTTTATTGTTCAGTTCCCATTTAGCAAAGCAATTTACTTTCTAATTCTTGTAACACATTAAATCCAAATTTGCAGGAGGTAACATTGCATATCATACACTTCCATCACAATAATATCGGGCAGAGGTCGTCCAAGGTATGCAAAAGTTAAAATGGTGTATATTCACATTAAACCATTAAAATCCTTCGCTGAAATGTGAACGTTTTCCTCTGTGTTCGCTGCAGTACCTCGTGTTTTCTCAAGTGGTTATTTATGTATACTATCTACAAACACTCACTGTGGAACTCTTTCTAGCTGAATAACAATGTCACATAAATAACTCCGTACCCCTCCCCCATTCTTGTCCCCCAAGAAAAGACTATGGCAGCCATCGGTCGGGCACCTCGCACACTCACCGTCAGGAGCAGTGATGTTCGGCTCGTCCCACCACCAAGTCTCACTGATATCTGACGAAGCCTAACCTGGGTGCCCTGGAGAATCCGGCCAAGATGCCCAAATCCGCTTAAACGCCAACTTGGTCGAGTATGTTTTGGAGGTGTCTCCAGGCTGAGTCATTCTCACGACGATTCACTGATGCCTCGGTCACCTGCTCGTAGTGCGCATGAAGCTGAATGAAAACCCGAATTTTATTTAAATTAATTTAACTAAAGTTTGTGAAACTTTAAAAAGTTAGCTCTCAACACCATAAGGCGAATAAATAGCGGCGCTCCCTCGATACCGACTCTTCGTTGTGTGCGTTTGTATCACGGGATTTTGCTATTAAGATACATCTGGCTGTTGACAGAAAACGGTTGCTAAATTCATGGCTATGATACCATTGCAGTATATGCAGTATATCCAAATATACACGAAAGTCTCCGGGCATAGTATTTTCAAAACAGCTTACGTCTGGTAAATAAAGCCTCTTGCGTAGAGCTGACCCTGGCATTCCAAAAATAAAAAATAGCTCACTTGAAACTATAAATAATTGTAAAGAATGAAATAAATTATGCACGAAGTTAAAAAATATAACAACCTTTCTGGGAAGTTATCATTATTTCACTTGATATGTTGGAACGTTTAAAACATTTTCATCTTTTTAATGTGCTGTATGATCAACTTTGTTGAAAAAAAATCATAATATTATGGTGTGACGACTAAGGCTGCAGTACTCGCCTAGTTGTGCTATGAGGGAGTTAAGCTTCGACTCTTTGGTCCCGCCTCTCAGCTGTCAGTCAACTGGTGTACAGATTCCTGAGCCTAATTGGGCTCTATTATATCTACATTAGGTTTGGTAATTTGTGATCTGTCAGTAGGTAGTTAGTGTACAGGGAAAGACCTTCATTAGGATATGAGTTTTCCTTTTATAATTGTTATGACAGCTTCTTGACACGCCCCTGACGTTCCCCCAAGTGCATAGCTAGTTATTTTCCGCGTAGTTTGCAACTCTGCTGTCGACGATCAGGTGCTCTTGCCTCGTCAGAGGCAATTTAATTTTCTTTAAACTATTTATAAAATAATGTCAATTGGCATCTTGGAAATAAGGTCTGAACCCGTGCCAATCTGGGAAGCGTCAATTGTTGTTGACAGCTAATAACATATAATGCTTTATTTTTAGGTCGTGTATAAATTTGTGTACAACTCTGTATTAAGAAATATAACATTTAATTATTTACCCCTTCTTATGCTAAAAGTCTCAAATTGAAGCCTTTCATTTATAACTGATGTGTGGCTAAGGACTAAATGTTGGCGTTTATGTCGCTTTCGACCGCACTAAATTTGAAAGATGAGTTTGTTTACCATATGATATTAACGTGTCATCCTTATAATAGCAAATTTCTTAAATGTTTTAAAGTCGGAGGTTACGGCTGCGTTTGAGCAACCTTGAGCAGGTGGTGTCTGATAGCTTACAATTTTAAGACGGCTACATTAGTACGTGAAAGATGTCATATAAATCTTGTTATTGTCGAAGCCTTAATACGTATGATGTAAGCAATTATTATTGTCTCCTGAGCTTGATGTATTTCAATCTTAATTTAATTGATTTTCATAATACTCGTATGAGGCTATAGGAATATGAAATGCCAAAACGGAAGTCTTTGGCCATCATTATCTCATTTACGTAACAGCCTGATCTTGAATTTAATCATAACTAAATTGATAAGTGAAGTGAACGACTTTCCTTGTCATAAGTGAACGACTTAATTTTCGATAAGTGAAGTTGGTCGCACTTCCCCTATCAATATGTTGTTTGTTGTTTTAGATTCAGTTAATCGGAACACAAAGTTCCAAGTAGCACGGGTTATGGTGAACCCGTAGTGGACTTACCTGGCACAAGAGCGGGGCTGTAACTGGTGGCCGTCAATAATCTTGATGGTCAGTTTACACAAGAACACCATTTAAATTGAATTCCTGGTTTATGTCACATACAATATAGATTATTGTTCTGTTCAACTGCTGTATATTATAGAACTTCCTGTTATCCAACAGTTATCTATAGATTTAAATTTTAAGATTACTGATTTTGAGTAACACTACATTTTCAACATCAGGCTAGTTTCAATGTGGTTTGAATTGTCAACACACAGTGATTAGTTTGCCGCGAGGTCTGCTAACAAATAGGGAACGCTGTTCTCTGCATCTCATAATCATATATACTATTTAACATCTGCAGAGAATATGTTGCCATAATGTAGCTGAAACAAATAACCAATTTCTACCCAACTCTCTGAATTCACTGATCTGATTGCATTATCTGATTATCATGGGGATATATTGCTATTACATCAAGGTTTGTATCTAGGGTCTTTCGTTTGAATTCATCTTCTTTATTTGATAGTCAGTCAACATGTGTCTTGTCAAATCTTCAGACTCGTAATTGTTACCCATCCTCTGAATGGGCAGCTTTTCCCCAGCTGAGGAAAGTTCCCCAGATCTTTGGGAGAGATACTGGCTAGTTTTGGGTGACCAAAAGGGACTAACCTGGGAAAGAGTTGAAGAGTTGGTAGTGGGGTGGAGTAGGAGTGTGGTGGAATAAGAGTTAGGAGACGTGGGAGCCGATAGAGGAAAGAGATATGAAGTAATGGAATTCTGAGGGAAATTGTGGGAGGGAGAGGTACATATGGATGATGGTTGATGAATGGTGGGGGGAGGGGGGGGGGGTGGGTAACCGGGATTGGTGCATTTGGGGCGTGAGGATATACTTATTTATCTGTGTCTGCGGGGGAGTGAGGTCTCGCTTTTTATGCCCCGCTTACTAGTCTTGCACCTGTTGCATTTTAGCTGAACTACTCTTGACTTTCAAATTCTCTGTCGAATCAGGCCTTAAAGTTGTGGATGTAGGTGGCTTCCACCACTTCCTCTTTTAGGGCACACCACTTGTTAATTACCCGTACAGGGTACGAGTATTTTCTAACGTCCCTTCGGCTCATTTCTTGGACATATTATATGTGCATGTGCACTATTGGTTTTACGTTTTTTTTTATCTGTGTATTTGCTCACTTTTAGAGTAATTATTCAGTAGATGTGTACTACAATTTAATTATTGTAAATTGTTATCCAACACAGCTTACGTTACTACAGGTGTGCTGATTGAGGGGAGGGAGTTATCAACGGGAAAGCGCCAAGCCATTACGACTATATAACACTTTGAAGGAGGTCAGGATAAGGATTTGGGATAGGACGGAGGGGGGGGGAGGAATGGTGCTCAAACACTTGGACGGTCGGGGATTGAACGCCGACCTGCATGAAGCGAGACCGTCGCTCTACCGTCCATCCCAAGTGGTTGGGCGTGTCTTGATTGAGACATCAGAAGCTTCAGGTGTTTACAACATCTTGCCAACATTATTACAGAATACCGATGGTGTCAAACGCGAGGCTTTTAGATGTGCGCTTGTAAATAAGCCGCGATGTGTATTGCTGTGACATAAATGTCACAACCATTGCAGTTTAAACTATGAAACAAACAACTTTATACTAAAAACGGTTTAGAATAAACAAACAGCTTGTCAGTATTAGTATACATATCATTCGCCAAGTTTGAAAACATAATTATAATAATCACTATAGACTTATAACTATGACATGGGCATGTCCATACGCATCTCACCCTTTAACCAGCTGAAGAGATCTTATATCAGTTTTAATATAATTTAGTGGCAGTTATTACATTTGATGCTTCATCCCTCCAATTTCTTCTATCCTAACATTAAATAGAAGCCGGTACAAGTTAACTCAACCGTCGATTTTATCCCGTCTCATAACTTTGAGAGCAAACACAAGGGGTGTCTCTCTTCTCCCCCTTTCCTTACCTCTTACCATAATTATATAGGGGTTGTCAAATTAAAAAAATATATATAACAAATAAATGTTCTTTAGGCTAGTCAAAGCTGCTTTTTTTCTGGAGGATAATAACATGCAAAAAGTAAACTCATAGATATCAAAGATAAATAAAAGAGTTGTACATGGAAGTACATGGCTTGTGCCACAGATCTATAAGGGGGTATATGTTGCATTTAGATGATAAGAGTTGAATACGATGTATTGTGATGTTAAGAGACTTAACCGCATGGGATGTGCATCTGACCCATTATTGTCAAACTGCAAGATCTTCTGACCGTGGGGGTAGAGTCACCCTTCTTATGAGCCTGGCAGATATTGTATTTTTTTTAATATATACAAGAGTTGTTACATTCTTGTACAGCCACTAGTACGCGTAGCGTTTCGGGCAAGTCCTTAATCCTATGTTCCCTGGAACACGACCCCCACGAAGAATCATTGTTACAACCAAGTAACCCATTTTACTGTTGAGTTAAACAGAGGCTACAGTTAAGGATTTGCGCCCAGTAAATCCTCCCCGGCCAGGATACGAACCCAGGACAAAGCGCTCACGGAACGCCAGGCAAGCATCTTACAACTACGCCACGGAGACCTCCCATTAACTACCTTCAAAGAGCGGCATAGTAAGGTGGTTATAAGGAACGTTTGTGTACCACTTTAAGTAGTTCTTTACATGTATATACATGTTTACATTTAGCAATATAAGTGTTTCTTTATAATGAAAGTTTGTGTACAATTATCCATATAAACGGCTCTTTTTAAGAAAGCACTTATATAGGCGGACCTTTATAAAGAGCATACCAATAAGAGCACTTACCAGTAAGTACAATAACTCGTTATAAGAAACGCGAGTGCACTCTTACGTACATCATTTGGTATCCCAGTATCCAACAAATGATGCTCATTGAGAAACCTCTGTATTCCAAACAATTATATTTTTAATCACTGTACAACCGTTTATTAGTTTACCAAATATTAAAAAAAAAATATTACATTTTTATCCTTTCAGTTCTGAATATTAATTTATATTTAAAGCTATTAGTCATAACATTCTGGTGATAATGCATTAATATAGGTGCTGTATAATTTTACCAAGCTTTACATATTATTGGTGTGTAACATGCAGTACACACAAAGAACAAATTAAGAGGACTTCTATGATTTCACATCAATTATTGGCATCTTAGCATGGCATTTTAGTTTGGTATCTTAGCTTTAAGGTTTATCTGTTGTATCCTTTAAAAGAGAAGACACACAAGAGCACTGTACAAAATGTGACAAGTATATGTACAGTAATTACTGTACGTCTGTATTAATACAGTACTCGTCTTTCATCAGACACTGCGCAAATCATGTTATGGACAAATAATTACGATTCACCATGGTACTTCGGGGGTGCCCGCGTCGCCCCAGGGGTACCGTGATACCCCAGGGTTCTCGCGTCGCCCCAGGGTACCGTGGTACTCTTATGTTGTACACGTTATCCCCTATGGTACCGTGGCACCCTTGAGTACTTACGTCACCCTCATGGTATCTTGGTACCCCCAGCTTCGGAACAAATGCTCGTAGTCATTAATAACTAAGCTTAAATAAATTAAAATAAGTGAGAAAATTCTATATAATTTAGTAGACCCAGTGTAACCGAAACTGCTGAATAATTAATAGCTTTAATGCTCGAAACAGTATCATAAATATTATATACGAACAGTAATAATTACAGATTTTGTTAATAATGATGATAATGCTCAAATAGTAAAGATAATATTTTTGTTGGTATTAGTGGTAGTTTTATAATCGCAGGCGCGAACTAAGGCTACTGGAACTAGAGTGTGATGGTTTTTCATTGTCTGTGGACAGGGAAGCCTATCAGGCATATTCTGATATCTCTTTGCCCGAAATGCTGTGCGTATTAGTGGCTTTAGGCATAGAATATTCTAGCTCTTATCTAGAAATCCAACATTCTGTTTGTAACTCATTTTGTATGTATGTACTTTGACCTGAATAAACATTATTATTATTATTATTATTATTATTATTACACAGAGAGTAATCACACTAACGTGATGTGTCAGCTGAGAAAATCCGTAGGAGCTGTGGTGAGGGTTCGAATCTGTGTCAACCATGTCTTGGCATAGTTGACTAGGGCGTGTGTGTGTGGGAACACCCACCGCATAGATTCGAACCCTCATCACGGCTCCTACGAATATTATTATTATTATTTTTATTATTATTATATTCAGGTTTCCCTGGGCCGCAGAGTAGCCTTTCCCAGGTTAGTTGCCTTTCTCCTAGATACCTAATACCTAGATACTGCTAAGTGCAAGGAAAGGTAGCGTAACGTCTCCCTGTACCTGGGACTAATCTCTTGTGAGTTAACTCAGCTTGCCACTGTGTTTCTCCCGGTCTAGAATGGAGTGACAAGCGCCCACGTGCTCTCTATGGGTATTCCTGCGGTCCCTCCAGCTTGGAATGTGTGACTCACCACAGAAGCTATTTTAAAAGGAAGCTTTTCTTAGAAGAAACCGCGTAAAGTTTAAATTAGGCTGAACGGTGCTTAGATATGTACGTTTAAGTTCTATATTGATAGTGTGGGTATAGTGCGGTTGAGTATTTGTGTCAAAAAACCTTTGATGTTTTACACTGTGAACTAGTGTATAAGAGGTGCACGGATGTATAAAACAGAGGTTCTTGGCTTGACTTTATGAAATGAACAATTAATATAAATTGGCTGAAGTGATTTTTTTTGCATAGATACAATCATTCACACATAAAGATATGAGTAAAAGTACGTATTATACGTAACCGTAATATACGTAAATACGTAAAAATACGTATGTACGTAACATACGTACGTAACCTTTTGAAAGAACACATTGGTTTATCAATTAAAGAAAAAACGCATTATTCATGTCTAAACTCATTCCACTGAAAAAATAATAGTATTAAAAAGGATGATTTAATTAATGTCGGTTGTATTCTTTGTAACTCAAACAATTTTAATTTAAATCTTACATTGGTTTTCCACACGTTATACAAAATATATCATATCTAATTTATGAAAATAACATTATTATGTGTTAAAACTATGAAAGAATACATGGAAATTGTTGAGTATTTTATATTGCCAAAGTAAACTAGGATAGGCTTGGTTAGAAGCACTTGCGGTGGACGATTCCAGGACCAGATTCATCGTACTCCTCCTTGGTGATCCACATGGCCTGGAAGGTGGACAGAGATGAAAGAATGGAGCCACCGATCCAGACGGAGTACTTACGCTCGGGAGGAGCAATGATCTTAATCTTGATAGTGGAGGGAGCCAGAGCTGTGATTTCCTTCTGCATGCGGTCAGCAATACCAGGGTACATGGTAGTACCACCAGACAAAACATTGTTGGCGAACAGATCTTTCCTGATATCAATGTCGCACCTCATGATGGAATTGAAGACAGTCTCATGGATACCAACAGATTCCATACCCAGGAAGGAAGGTTGGAAAAGCGACTCAGGAGCACGGAAACGTTCATTACCAATGGTGATGACCTGACCATCAGGAAGCTCGTAGGACTTTTCCAGCGAAGATGAAGCAGCAGCGACGTTCATTTCGCTTTCGAAATCTAAGGCAACATAACAAAGTTTTTCTTTGATATCTCGAACAATTTCTCGCTCAGCTGTGGTGGTGAAGGAGTAGCCTCTCTCTGTCATGATCTTCATCAAATAGGCAGTCAAGTCCCGGCCAGCCAGGTCAAGACGAAGGATAGCGTGTGGAAGAGCATAACCCTCGTAGATGGGGACAGTGTGGGACACTCCATCACCGGAGTCCAGCACGATACCTGTGGTACGACCAGAGGCGTACAGGGACAGCACGGCCTGAATGGCCACGTACATAGCAGGTGTACTGAATGTCTCGAACATGATCTGCGTCATCTTCTCACGGTTGGCCTTGGGGTTGAGGGGAGCCTCCGTCAGGAGGACTGGGGACTCCTCAGGGGCAACTCGCAGCTCGTTGTAGAAGGAGTGATGCCAGATCTTCTCCATGTCGTCCCAGTTGGTGATGATGCCGTGCTCGATGGGGTACTTGAGAGTCAGGATACCTCTCTTGCTCTGGGCCTCATCACCGACGTAGGCGTCCTTCTGACCCATACCGACCATCACACCCTGGTGACGAGGACGGCCGACGATGGAGGGAAAGACGGCGCGGGGAGCGTCGTCACCGGCGAAGCCGGCCTTGACCATGCCGGACCCATTGTCCACAACCAGGGCACACGTGTCGTCGTCACACATTGTGGTGGTTTGAGAGTTTAGATCGCAGTTCTGTGAATATAGAATAATAGGTTAGTTATGACTTTACTAATTGGTGCAAATTAATATTAAAATTATAGCAGGTCATAGACAGTCGAATCCTACTAAATATTAATTGTGGCCAAATTCAGAGAAGTCCTTGGAATATTTTGTTGTGTCTCGCTTAAACAAATAACAATGCAAACTGTCGCTCGTCTTATATCCTGGGGATACTGATGCTGCTGCATGGAATATATAATCGCATTTTATTATTTTCTCTGAGTATAATATAAGTTCCATGGAATTCGAAACAGAGCTGTTAATTTCGAGTCTAAAAATGCTTAATCACTTTCAGTATAAAGTCCATATATACAAAGTTACCAATAACAGTAATAATACACTTGTGTTGAAGGCATTCAATTACCGTGTAGTGGAGAGTGGTGTGAGGAAGGTGCTACTGAGACCTCTAGGCACACGTCTCAGCTGTCACTGTGTACAGGACGCGGCACGTGCTCCTGCCTGAGTGAGCGTCTGACCCGGTACTGCCGCAGGTGACGGAATCCTAGGCTCACGTTTGGCCAAAATGGTAAATGGCAACTATATGTTTGTATTTAACTGTTGCAGACGGACAGGAAGGGAGGAGCTTCCCTTACCACACTTCTCAGCAGGTGACAAGAGGCAGGATGTGGGCGGGAGTAAAGGCGGAGCTTGGGCTGTGACGGGTAATAACGGAGGTTAGGGAGAGGCGGGTTCAAGGGGCGGGATGATGGACTTAGGGGGCGTTATAACAGGGAATGGGGGCGGGGTTTGAGAAGGGAGGCGGGGTGTGAAGGTGCGCTTTCTTCTCTGCCGCCGCCCCACCAACGGGCTCAACTACTGCCATATAAGGCCATGAGGGTTCTGTGCCTAATATAGACCTGACTTGTAATTCATAGTAACTTTTTTTGTTGATTTTTTAAATATTTGTTCGAATTCCACTTTATTTAAATATTTTTGTCAGACTTCAGTATACATGAAAAACATCGAAATTGCTGTTATGTATTATATATATAAATAGAATCCCCATGTAACAGATTTTCGCTCTGTATCTCTTAAGTTTAAGGAACACAGGATTCTGTGTTATTTCTTAGCACTGCAAAAGATTCTCGTTGCGGATTTTGTGTAAGTCCATAGAAATATAACGCAGAAAAGACTGAATATGTTAGTATAATTATTTTGCTATCATTCATTCAGATAATGTCTTAGATATTTAAGTCGAATTACGACGCAACCATTGTAAAAAAAATCACAAGCAAATACAAGACATACTCAGGTTCCACAGGCACGTACTAGACACACGCAGGCTTCCTCAGGCACGTGCTAGACACACTCAGGCTTCCTCAGGCACGTACTAGACACACTCAGGCTTCCTCAGGCACGTACTAGACACACTCAGGCTTCCTCAGACACGTATCAGACACACTCAGGCTTCCAGAAGCACGTACCAGACACACTCAGTCCTACACAAGCACGTGCCACACACACTTAGTCTTCCACAAGCACGTGCCCCACACACTCAGGCTTCCACAAGTACGTACCATACACACCCAAGCTTCTACAGTCACATACCAGATACTCAGGCTTGTAGAGTCTGCATACACAATCAGCATTCCGAAAATACAGGCAACAGACACACCCATAAATACCCAGCCCAGCAAATACCAGATTGGCGTGGTATAGCTACCCACTTACCTGGGCCGGGTTTTTAGTTGACAAACTTAGACGTGGTTTAAGAACTTATTTTGTTTTAATATGGGAACTTAGTTATTTCTGTTTACATATAAAATTGCATTTATTTTTTCTATTGACTAAATAAACTCCATGGGTTTTTTTTTTTTAATAAATGGGTTTTAATATAAAAATAGCCTTTATTTGTGTTTTTTTACCAAAATTTTCCAAATCACAGACACGCCTTGGCATCTGTGCCTTGGTCTCGCTCCATGCAGGTCGGCGTTCAATCCCCGACCGTCCAAGTGGTTGGGCACCATTCCTTTCTCCCGTCCCAAATCCTTATCCTGACCCGTTCCCAGTGCTATATAGTCGTAATGGCTTGGCGCTTTCCTCCCCCCTGATAGTTCCCTTCCCTTCTGTCTTCTACGAGCACAGTCCACATACACATACAGGCTTCCACGAGCCACACGCGCATCCAGGCTACTACAGGCCACGTGCACAGTAAAGACTTTGAAAAGCCTCATGCACTCCTAGGCATTCCATGCAACTTTTCCTCTTAAAAAGAACGTCGCTTTTGGCCGTTTGCCCGTATGGTCGAATTTGGACGTAATTTGAAAATGACAAAAAAATGAAAATAAGTTTGGGATTTTTTTTCAGCAACAGTAAGTTAAGGGTCTTTGATAGGTTAGGTGGGCAGGAAATTCTCATAAAGTTTCAAAACGTTATGAAGAACGTGAATTGAAAGTCATCTATTCTAACCTTACAGAGTCGGCCGGACGACTCAAACAGAAAACGGAACAGTACGTCACTTTTGTGAGTCGATTTCATTTCAAATTACGTTAAAATTTGGCCATAGCGCGCATACGAGCCTAAAGTGACGTTATTTTTAAGAGGACGGGTTGTTCACTGACACAAGCCACCGGCAGCCCCCCCCTTCAAGCAGAACTGACTCGCCTACTAACCTTCCGAGTGCGATGAAGACTGAGACTTAGTCCTTACACCTAAACTTCTTTTATAGGATCTCCTCAGATAGAAAGAAGATCCCGTTATAGCCCGAGATTTCTTTTAGGCGCTGCTGATTTCCACGTTTCATCCTTTAAAAGGCTATAAACGCCCTAAAAGGAAGTTGCCGTCGGGAGTTCCGGTACATGGCGGAAATGCCAGCTCGAGCACTGTTTTTGGTCGTTTGTATTGGTCCGCTGGCGATTCCGAAATAGAAAAATTTGCAAATTTTTGGCTCTCCAGAAATAGAGATTCTCGAATAGTTAATATCAAGCACTCCTGAAATTTAAAGATTCGCAAATCATGAATTTCTGACATTCCATAAATTTATGATTGGCGAATACCCGCCAAACACACACCGAAACTACGACGTTGGTACAACGTTGGAACAAGTTTTAACACTTCCTAACCAGTTATAACAACCAATATAGCAAGATGTAACAACGTTCTAATACGTCATAAACACGTTAAGCCAAGATGTAACAGCTTTATTACAAGTTGTAACAAGCAGAAAATAGAGACAGTTTCGGTTTGTGTTTCCAGGGTAGCAAAGTTATCAGCGGTAATGTCTCTTTATCATATATATATCGTCGTTTGTGGTTACTATGCGCAAATTATGTTCACAGTACGTTTCTCTCTATATCCTGCCAGGATATAGAGAAAGAACTTGGCAATGCGATGTTATAGTGGTCAGAATACGCCTGGGATGCAGAGGTTTCTGGCAGCTTTCTTAAAACTCAAGTGTCGAATACACCATGAGAATAGATACACCATGATAATAGATACACCATGATAATAGATACACCATGATAATAGATACATCATGATAATAGATACACCATGATAATAGATACACCATGATAATAGATACACCATGATAATAGATACACCATGATAATAGATACATCATGATAATAGATACTCCATGATAATAGATCACCATGATAATAAATACACCATGATAATTTCTGTCACAAAATAAACTTTGTGAAAGAGAAAGCATGTATTCCCATGAACACTACATTGTAGAATGTCCCACAATGAACTCTGTTAAATACTATCTGAATACTGGAACACTTGATGATATACTGGACTTGTATCCAAGATTGACTGTATAATGCACCAGTTACGTAATATGTGTGAGATGGTAATTATAACGTGAGCTTGTAAAAAGCACCTTAAACAGCTTCTGTGATTGAGTCCTCAATAATTCCTTACTCGATATGTCGTCTAACAGATCTCTATAACGTGTCCATGGAGGACAGAAGGAAGTGTATGTAAGCTGGTGACCATGGTAGATGACTGGCTTTTCTGTGGTTGAAAATAAACTAAACAGAAAAGTATAGAAACGTTCAGGGGCAGGTATCTGGGGATGTGAGGGTGATCCAGGAACGGAGACTACCCAGGGAGGGAACAAGGAGCCAGACAGTGAGGGAACAAGGAGCCAGACAGTGAGGGAACAAGGAGCCAGACAGTGAGGGAACAAGGAGCCAGACAGTGAGGGAACAAGGAGCCAGACAGTGAGGGAACAAGGAGCCAGACAGTGAGGGAACAATGAACCAGACAGTGAGGGAACAAGGAGCCAGACAGTGAGGGAACAAGGAGCCAGACAGTGAGGGGAACAAGGAGCCAGACAGTGAGGGAACAATGAACCAGACAGTGAGGGAACAAGGAGCCAGACAGTGAGGGAACAAGGAGCCAGACAGTGAGGGAACAATGAACCAGACAGTGAGGGAACAAGGAGCCAGACAGTGAGGGAACAAGGAGCCAGACAGTGAGGGAACAAGGAGCCAGACAGTGAGGGAACAAGGAGCCAGACAGTGAGGGAACAAGGAGCCAGGCAGTGAGGGAAACAAGGAACCAGACAGTGAGGGAACAAGGAACCAGACAGTGAGGGAACAAGGAGCCAGACAGTGAGGGAACAAGGAGCCAGACAGTGAGGGAACAAGGAACCAGACAGTGAGGGAACAAGGAACCAGACAGTGAGGGAACAAGGAGCCAGACAGTGAGGGAACAAGGAACCAGACAGTGAGGGAACAAGGAACCAGACAGTGAGGGAACAAGGAGCCAGACAGTGAGGGGAACAAGGAACCAGACAGTGAGGGAACAAGGAGCCAGACAGTGAGGGAACAAGGAGCCAGACAGTGAGGGAACAAGGAGCCAGATAGTGAGGGAACATGGAGCCAGACAGTGAGGGAACAAGGAACCAGACAGTGAGGGAACAAGGAACCAGACAGTGAGGGAACAAGGAGCCAGACAGTGAGGGAACATGGAGCCAGACAGTGAGGGAACAAGGAGCCAGACAGTGAGTGAACAAGGAACCAGACAGTGAGGGAACATGGAGCCAGACAGGAATTAAGCAGGTAGCCAGACAAGGAGAGAAAGAGAGAGAGAGTGTGTGTGTCTGTGTGTACGTGTATTCACCTAGTTGTGCTTGCGGGGGGGGGGTTGAGCTTTGGCTCTTTGGTCCCGCCTCTCAACCGTCTATCAACTGGTGTACAGATTCTTGAGCCTACTGGGCTCTATCATATCTACATTTGTGTGTGTGTGTGTGTGTGAACTATGGAGAGAGTTTACCAATTGGATACCTTGTGTAAGGAGCACCTTGGGGCAAGACACCTCTACTCATATCACAAAAACTCTCCCTTTCACACTCTACCCTGCTGATTTATGTTTACAAATCTCCAGTGTAGACTTCTATTGGTTTTTGTTTACAATACAAATATAGACATATATATATATATATATATATATATATATATATATATATATATATATATATATATATATATATATATATATATATATATAATACATATCGGTGCTAGGGGTCTTCCAGTTTCTTATATTTGTCAGCGACTTGACGGGGTAAATTTGCGCCATATCAGTATTTGTAAACGATGCAAAACTAATGAGAAGAGTTAGAACTAAAATGGACTGTGATAACCTGCAAAATCAATTCCATAAATTGCCTGAAAAATGATTGCCATAATTTAACCCAAATGCGAAGTTATGAGGATTAGAATACGATCTCGTTCATGCAAGCACATCTAAACGAGTACGCACGCACGCACGCACGCACGCACGCACACACGCACACACGCATGCATACACACACACACACACATGTGGTAGACGGTTGGAACAAGTTAAGTGAGAAGGTGGTGGAGGCCAAAACCGTCAGTAATTTCATAACGTTATATGACAAAGAGCATTGGGAAGACAGGACACCACGAGCGTAGCTCTTCCTGTAACTACACTTAGGTAATTACACACACACACACACACACAGAGAAAGAGGAAATTATAAACAGGTATGAGGGAGGCGCAGGAGACAGACAGCGGGCACTGACCAAAATAAGCGGGTGAACATGTGTGTGGGTGGAGTCGCTGGGTGGGGGAGGCGGCGGGCGGTAACTTGAGAGGGGAAAGGGGAAGCGGGTAAGGGGAGGTTTCTCTAGTTGAAGTAGCATTAATGGGTAAGTAGTACTACAGGAGGAAGTAAGTTTAAGTAACATTTGAAAGAAGAAGAGAAGGGGAAGTAACGCGGGATAAAGCAATATAGGATGTAATAGTGCCCGAAACGCTGCGCGTACTAGTGGCTTTACAAGACTGTAATTACCATATTATGTATCCTCACATTCCCAATGTACATTCTTGTATATGCATAAATAAATAAATAAATAAATAAATAGTGGGGGAAAATATCAATATGGGGAAATAGCATGAGAGAAGTAGAAGTGGTGGATATTACAATAGTAGTTGTTTATACGAGTTTGCGTTCTTATACGGATGGTGCAGGTGGGAGAGGTGTACTCACGGTGTGTTTACTCAACTGAATGTATTACTCTCCTAAATTTGCTTGCAATGTTGAACGCTAACTCTTTTGTTATTAATTGTGGTTGTCAAATGCAGTGACTTGCCACCTGCTCCATGTCATGTCTGCTCGTAAGTATCTTATGGAAATAGATTCTACACTCTCATCCTCAAACCCATTTCATGTGTTTACAATTCTTTCCCTGAAAAATATGTTGCTAAGATAAATTTCCAATTTAATTTCTTTCTTTATTATGCACCCCATACCCATCCTGTGGGTGGTGGTGTAAAGGGTTATAGAGGCACACAATCGGTTCAGGAACTGAACCCTCTAGTTCGTTTAGCCAAGCAAATAACAATTTTTGACGCTAGTAAATCTTCTGCAGCCAACTCCAACGGTTCTAGGGTTTCCAGACACCAGCTAGGACACAAACACTAGCCACCCAGCCAATGTACTGACAACCCCCAACATACAACACACCCAAACAAACGACACACACATCTGCCAACCCATGGTGGACAGGCCACCGAACTTTCAAACCTCCTCTCTCTATATGCCTCATTCCTCTTCCAGAATTTCACCTCCACATCCCTCTACCTCCCCTATCATTTCCAAACCCTTTGGACGTCAAAACTCAAAGCTTTCGCTGAAATGTTTCTTTCAGCTATTCCTGGGACTCAACAGCGCCTCAGGTTTCAATCCAGGTCCCTCTGTTTCGTTACACCAGTTGATTGACAGTTTATTGGCATTTCTTCCCTGTCCCCGTTTCATTACACCAGTTAATTGACAGTTGAGAGGCGGGACCAAAGAGCCAAAGCTCAACCTCCGCAAGCACAACTAGGTGAGTGTGTTGTTTTTCTGTTTATATTCTTGTCCCCATCCTTATTACTTTGCATTTACGTCATTTGTATTAAAGACTTGTACCCGATTGTACAACTATGTGTGTGACTCATACGTCAGGCTGCGAGCAGCCGCGTCTAACAGCCTGGTTGATCAGTCCAGCAACCAGGAGGCCTGGTCGACGACCGGGCCGCGGGGACACTAAGCCCCGGAAGCACCTCAAGGTAACCTCAAGGTAAGGTATGTCCTCGTTTGCTCAGATTTTCTTCATCAGCATCGCACCAGCATCAATGCGCAACACCCCAATGCAATATGTATATGCAAAAAAAAAAAAAAAATAGCGTGGGTCGCAGCACAGAACCTTGTGGATTTCACTTATGACATTTTCCCATTCGTATATTGTCCCCCTGTTACTGGGTAGGGGATACTAGTGAGCATGTATTCACACTTTAATATACAGTATATACACTTATTGACAATATAGTTTCTCTGTGTAACAAGAATGGTATTGAGTCCCGATTAAATAAAGGTATTTTATAAATGAAATCCTTGTAAAATGAGTTGCATCTTTAGTTCAGACTCAACATTGGACAGTGTTGAAAATAATTTGATCAAATTTTAGAACATAAACATTGCTGATTACGATTCAAGAATGTTTGGCCCTGCAGAAAATATATAGAATATTCCTTATTTGTTTTCTTTAGTTTGGATTTGTTTTTTAATCCAAAAAGATTCTAGGTTAAAGGATCGATGAAAAAACATAAAATTCGTACAAATATTATAATTATTTATAGAAAATATAGAGTATTAATAACGAAACATAGATGATGATTCCAAAGATGCATCACTCACAAGAGATCGGTAGAAAGTATAATATTTAAATGTCTAAAATCTTTCCAAACCACCTGGAAATAAAAGCCTGATGAGAGTTAAGACCGTTCCCTCAGGCTTTTGAACATTTGTCATATTTTGTAACAGAGATTTTGTGCCCTTTGTCTTTATTGTAATAGCTCTCTGAATTTAAGTTGAAAGAGTTTTAGAATCATATTGATTAAAATTAATGCACGCTAAAGTGAGCGTCATAATGAACATCAGCCCGGAGGTCTGTAAATGTTTAGAAGCACTTGCGGTGGACAATGCCGGGACCAGACTCGTCATACTCTTCTTTGGTGATCCACATGGCCTGGAAGGTGGAGAGAGAGGCCAGGATGGAGCCACCGATCCAGACGGAGTACTTACGCTCGGGAGGAGCAATGATCTTGATCTTGATGGTGGAGGGAGCCAAAGCTGTGATTTCCTTCTGCATGCGGTCAGCAATACCTGGGTACATGGTGGTACCACCAGACATGACGTTATTTGCGAACAAATCCTTTCTTATATCAATGTCGCACCTCATAATGGAGTTGTACACAGTCTCATGGATACCAACTGACTCCATACCCAGGAAAGAAGGCTGGAACAAGGATTCAGGTGCCCGGAAACGTTCATTTCCAATAGTAATAACTTGACCGTCAGGAAGTTCATATGACTTTTCCAAAGACGAGGAAGCAGCAGCAACATTCATTTCGCTCTCGAAGTCAAGGGCAACATAACAAAGTTTTTCTTTTATATCTCGAACGATTTCTCGCTCAGCCGTAGTGGTGAAGGAATAACCACGCTCTGTCATGATCTTCATCAAGTAGGCAGTCAAGTCCCGGCCAGCCAGGTCAAGACGAAGGATAGCGTGGGGAAGAGCATAACCCTCGTAGATGGGGACAGTGTGGGACACTCCATCACCGGAGTCCAGCACGATACCTGTGGTACGACCAGAGGCGTACAGGGACAGCACGGCCTGGATGGCCACGTACATAGCAGGAGCACTGAATGTCTCGAACATGATCTGCGTCATCTTCTCACGGTTGGCCTTGGGGTTGAGGGGAGCCTCCGTCAGGAGGACTGGGGACTCCTCAGGGGCAACACGCAGCTCGTTGTAGAAGGAGTGATGCCAGATCTTCTCCATGTCGTCCCAGTTGGTGATGATGCCGTGCTCGATGGGGTACTTGAGAGTCAGGATACCTCTCTTGCTCTGGGCCTCATCACCGACGTAGGCGTCCTTCTGACCCATACCGACCATCACACCCTGGTGACGAGGACGGCCGACGATGGAGGGGAATACGGCGCGGGGAGCGTCGTCACCGGCGAAGCCGGCCTTGACCATGCCTGAGCCATTGTCCACAACTAGAGCACAAGCGTCTTCGTCACACATGGTGGTGTAGGCGGGTTTGGCCTGGATCTGCGGAAAGAAGGCATAAATCTATGATTTACATGGGGATATATGGTAAAGGAATACTACACAATGCTATTACAATGGTTTTAATATGTTCTTTTGACATAACACTTTATAACATGTAATGTAATTACTCTCCTCTCAGGCCTGTTTTGTATTCTGGGTTGTTTATAATACAATGTATCAAAAAACTGTTTAGGATTTATTGCTTATAAATGTTGTTTATTTATGAATAAATGTTTATAATACTATTCACATTGCAGTTATGATCTAAGGTGTCAAAATTCCCATTATATCTAGAATGTAAATGATCTTTTTGGTATAGTCTACTACCGGTTATATATATATATATATATATATATATATATATATATATATATATATATATATATATATATATATATATATATATATATATATATATATATATATATATATATACTGGAAATAAAATATACTGGAAATAAAATTATATTTTGCAAGAAAGTTTACATAAGGCTTCATGAAAATAAATGTTTGTAAACTTTTTTTTATACTTGTTCGGTTAAATATGTTGTGTGAAGTCATTTGGGAAAGCAACAACTAACGGACGTTTTAATGCGAGTCTAGAGAAAGTAGTTGATCCACCTGTGGAAATAGATCACATACTCATCATGACGTAACAGTAACGGGATTCTAAAAACAAGTTTGTACTATATTGAAATTAATAAGTAATTGTATTACAAGCTAGCACAATCTAGTACATTATCTCTCATATGTTGGTATTGATGTTATTGTTACTGTTATATAAGTATTTGACAGTGCAAACAATAACTCAATAACACGTATTTTCATTTGATAGCAGTCCCACAATGGTAATTATATAAACTGTAGTTTAAAAAATCTTCTTATGAAATTGTTGGAAAAGCAAATGTAAATTCACTTTCCCCTTATAAAATAGTATCGTATCTAAATATACTTGTGCACTGCTTAGACAACACTGGGAACACGCCATACCACCACATATATCAACAAAACAGACGGATCCACCTACAGTACGAGTTGTATCCTGAGCCTGCTGTAGACTAAGGTAGATTTCTGGCCAGCCTCCCTTATATACATGGGCTGAGTTCTCAGAAATAACGCCTCACAACCAAATCCAGCATTGAAAACCCTCTCTGGCATCCTCCCCGCCTGCCTTGTTTACAGTCTGACCCCCCACTCACAAAAAAAACTCGGCCCTGTGGTCTATAGCCACGTGCTACAAGGATCCCAACCCTTGCCCACCCCTCAATCTTCACCCTCCCCGGTTTTAATGTTTGGATTTCCCGAAATATCGCCTCAGCTGTACCTCTCCTTTCTTTATTTGGTTCCTTTTGAATTAAATCTGAGATAGGTGTTCATGGATCTCTCCTTGTTGAAGTTTCCTGCTGTCTCTATAAAGCTATGTACTCTATAAAACAACTACAAATATAAGGTGAAAGGCACGAGGGACGTGATGCAAAAAATAGATTTACTTCCTTTACGGCGAGACTTATCTTGAGGAAGTGAGGGGAAGGAGGAAGGGGAGAAGGGTAGAGAGGAAGAGGAGACGAAGGACACGAGAAGGGGGGAACGAGAATTAAAGCCAGTTGCCGCGGGGGTGCAGCCTAATGAACCTTAAACGTGTCGGCGGTCTAACGAAAAGAAAATTCAAATCGTACTGTATAGTAATCGAACATAAGACAGACTAAATTCAAAGTGAAAATGGGAATACATTAATTTACACTTCAAATGCCTATGGAGGCCACCTTTTCTCTGGTAGCTCCATACGAAACATGTTAATCATGTTAAAACACCCTGTGTAGTATTTATAATTTTTTAAATATCTAAATATAAATAAAATAATATTTTATTTATAATAAATATAAGTATAAATAAAACGTATAAGTATAAATAAAAAGTATAAGTATAAATAGAACGTATAAGTATAAATAAAAAGTATAAGTATAAATAGAACGTATAAGTATAAATAAAAAGTATAAGTATAAATAACAAGTATAAATAAAATAATATTACAATTAAGCAATTATTAAGTATTATGTCTGAGAAGGATACAAACCCACATTTATATATTTGTGAATTTTATGTAAAGATTGACACCAAGTCTATCGCACTCTCCTGAGTGCTTTGTCAAGGGCTGAATATATGGTTAGGACGAGACTTACATCACAACGATGAGACATAAGACTTTGACAAAGCCTGCTGAGACCTTGACAAAGCACTCAGGAGAGAGCAATAGACTTGGTGTCAATCTTTACATAAAATTCACAAATACACGTATAGGTTTTTAGCCAATATTATTATTTCTTTTATTATAGTGAATGTAAAGGTAATAACTCTGAATTTACCAAGTGTATATATATATATATATATATATATATATATATATATATATATATATATATATATATATATATATATATATATATATATATATATATATATATATATATATATATATATATATATATATATATATATATATATATATATATATACACGTTAGGCTTATATCGAGGTCGCTTCCCCCCCCCCCCCCGCTATATAGTCTAATGGCTTGGCGCTTTCCACTAATAATTCTTTTCCCTTCCCCTTCTCTTCACCCCCCCCCCCCCCCCCCCTAAGGTCGAACTACTGACCTTCCTCAAAATGATCAACCATTTCTGTTCCGGCCGGGATTCGAACCCGGAATTTCCGATTATGTGTCGAGAACGAACCTAGCTGTACTGTCTGTCACCTGGCTGTGTCGGAGGTTGAAGGCCAGACGCGAGGAGGAAGGAGAGAGAGAGACAGACAGACAGACAGACACAGAAAGACAGCGACAGAAAGCTCAACAGAAACAAAGGAACACGTAGAAAGACATAGACAAGAGAGACAGTAACGATAGACAGACATAGACAAGGAGCCAGAGACAGAAACGATAGACGGACATAGACAAGGAGCCAGAGACAGAGACAGAAGACAAGACACAGAGATACAGAGACCAACCAGGTGGACTCGGGCACCACCGGGTATCCCATACATGGACACCAAAAGTGATGAGAACAGATGCAAGTATCGAAGCAGTGTCAGCAGGGAGATATCACTGAAGTCGACCCGGTCGACCCTCCGCTGCCGTTTTCTATAATACATAATATGCTCACATGCTTAATATATTATGCACATACCCTAATATGCATATATTTATGCAGACGATATTTTTGGTGTTGGGATATAGGCCTACGAATATATATGCAGGATTATTAAGGCACAACAATGGCTTGCTGACCAACCAGCCAGTATAATTTAGTCCTAGAGCTAACCCGCTGGACAAAATCATCATTACAAATAAGGGTTGGGGGGAGGGATGTTTGACAAGCCGCCGGCTTCCTGTCCTTGTCGAGGTCACTAGAAAGCTGCCCTCAGGTAAATTCTGGTAAATAATAATAAGTAAACTCAGCGTATTTGTCCCAACGAGCGGGTGTACCTAGTCTCACTTTTTTTCAATCCGTCTTCCAGAATTACAGAACCTTTAGTTACTATGGATGGATTGTTTAAAATATGGGCTGTTATGCCCGGTTTAGTCCACTTTTTTTGTACCACTCTAATTCTAAATGTCGTAACTATAAACGTAACTTAACCTAAGCTTAATATAATATATCATTACATATTAATAATATAACCAAGGTTAATATATTAGCCTATTAACCTTAATATGTTAACCTAGGCTTATTATAGTAAATCTTAGGGCTAATTTAGTATACTGACTGTGTGCCGTAAGTCATTGGCTATCTTTTGTGTTACCTTTCGAAAAGGAATAGTGTAAATGTTTTCGGACATTATTTGTGTAAAATACGTGTTAGCTACTTGATATATCATGTATCAACTCTGGCATACTCTGTATGCCAGAGTATACTGACCTTGCCTTTGTTGTTGTTTCAGATTTAGCTACACAGAACGAAATGTCCATGTAGCACAGGCTATGGTGAGCCCGTATGGGATGCCTTTATTTCACCTCACTTTTATTCTTGTGCAATTGTTGTTCTCAGACAGATTTGTAACGTTGAAGGTTTTTTAATGATGAACAGTAAACACGTGTATGATGTTATGCTCCCAAATATAGTTTCTGGAATAGAGGAGGCATATCCACTCTTTAACTGGTGAGTAATATGGGCAAACCTTCATGTTAAATATATTACTCCAAAACAACGTGAACTATTGTATCGCTGTATTCATGAGACTCTTCCTACTAATGATAGGTTGTTGTTGTTGGGAATTAAGGACAACAATAGGTATGATCAATGTACTGAAATTGAGAATAATATGCATATATATATATATATATATTATTTCTGTAAGCAGAAAGCTGTTCTTGTAAACTGGATTACAGACCCTATTAAAGCTTTATGTGGACCAAGCATTAGAGTGGATTTAAGGAAGTTTTTAATGTTTCATATTGACATAAAATGTAAGAAAATTAATAATACAATAATTATGTTACTTTCTGATTATATTTTGTGTGTGGATAGGCAGGCAGGAACCCAGTAGACAAAATATTGAAGTTATTGGAAGTCAGGATCAAGTATAACATTTGGGGTTGACGGTTCATGCTCTGTGATGATAGGCTTCCAGGCTCTAACAATAGGATACCAATATTATGTTTTTAATTCATGAATGATTAGAGTTTTGATGTATTTATCATATTTGAGAATTTATTAACTGATACAATTTTTGGACATATTACTGATTAGTTTTATAGATCTTTCAACGTGTGTATCATTTGTGAACATAATACTAGTCACTTGTATTGCAAATGCAATAATATACCGTAATTCTTATTTTTATTTTCATGTATTCAATCCCAGCAAGGGTGAGTTTTCTTACTTTTAGTGCTGAGGCCAAAACTGTTTCTACACGTCAACCCACTCTTAGAGTCTTAGGGTCTATAGAATAGATTATTGTGTACCACATACTCAGCCAGTGGGTTGTAGTTTATTGTGCACCCAATACTCATTTTGAGTAGTAGTTTATTGTGCACCCAATACTCATTTTGAGTAGTAGTTTATTGTGCATCCCATACTCATCGTGTGGGCAGTAGTTTTCGTGCATTTCATACTCAACCTGTGAGCGGTAGCACAGAAAAGATTACAGCGGGCACAAAAGATCTTAACAGAGACCTCAGACCTCAGTTTAAACTTTTCCATTAACAATTACAGTATATTAAAGCTGCACACCTTATAATTATGCTGACAGCTAATAGCAAACTTTTTGCATTGCAACATGCATTTACAGTAGGTACTACCACCAGCGAATAATAATATAAAGTAATTTAAATAATTGGTATTACAGAATCATAGAAGAGCTGCTGCTTATTATTATTAGTCTTGATATATGTCATTTAACTACTAGAAGCGAAATATGGATACAGTACAAGGATTTCAGAGATTTTATAATTTGTAATATGATTGTTTTGCCATTTGTTGCAGCGTGAGTTTAGAGTGATCTCTAAATGGGTAGATTTTTTCAGTCTACGAAGTAATGCTCTACATTGCGTGTTCCTGTCTCAGTTAACACACTTTACTTCATCTAATGAAATAGGAGAGTATATGTCCGTTATGGGGCTCGGTATTTGTGATTCAGTTGGCGGAGGAATGGTTATATACACCTGCCTGTGTGTGAGTTGTGAGCAGGGCGGGGTTCCAGGTGTGTGAGTGAGTAGGATGGGCGTGGCTGACGGATGTGTGGACAGAATGGGTGGGGTGGCTGGCGGCGGGTGGGCAGATCCGACGTGGGAATCAGCAGTGTGGACTAGCAGGCGGGTGGGTGAGCTGTATAGGTGTGGTAGGCGGGTGGGTAAGTGGGACGAGTGATCAGGGTGGGTGTTGCAGGCTGGTGTAACAGGCGGGGAGAGGTGTTGCAGACTGGTGTAACAGGTGGGGAGAGGTGTTGCAGGCTGGTGTAACAGGCGGGGAGAGGTGTTACAGGCTGGTGTGACAAGCGGGTGGGTGTTGCAGGCTGGTGTAACAGGCGGGGAGAGGTGTTGCAGACTGGTGTGACAAGCGGGTGGGTGTTGCAGGCTGGTGTAACAGGCGGGGAGAGGTGTTGCAGGCTGGTGTGACAGGCGGGGTGAGGTGTTGCAGGCTGGTGTAACAGGCGGGGAGAGGTGTTGCAGGCTGGTGTAACAAGTGGGGAGAGGTGTTGCAGGCTGGTGTAACAGGCGGGGAGAGGTGTTGCAGGCTGGTGTGACAAGCGAGTGATTGAGCAGGATGAGTATGTCAGCCAGGCTGGTATGTGGACGGGGTTGGCAAATGGGTGGGCAAGAGAAGCATGGAAGGGGGATTGAATGGGCAATACGGGCATGGACAGTTGCAGGACAGGGCGTGGCAGGCAAAGTGAGTGAGTAAGAAGGGTGGCGCATCCCACCCGCCACTGTTGACATAACGGATCTGGCATCACCCACCCCCTTGTGCCCACTGGCAGCTATTTCCACCGTGGGTGCGCATTACCCCCCCTAGCCGGCCCGCAGCCCACGGTCATGCTCGTATAAGGCCTCCTGCTCATTACCATTAGGCTCTGACGCTACATTACACAAACACATAGGCAAAATTCACCTTATTGTGTTATCATTGTTTTACTCTTTTGCTTTAGCAATCAAAAACTTTAATAAAACAAAAAACAAAGTTAAAAAAATTGAGTTGTAGCAATACACACACACACACACACACACACACACACACACACACACACACACACACACACACACACACACACACATACATATATCTATATATATATATATATATATATATATATATATATATATATATATATATATATATATATATATATATATATATATATATATATATATATATATATATATATATATATATATGTCGTACCTAGTAGCCAGAACGCACTTCTCAGCCTACTATGCAAGGCCCGATTTGCCTAATAAGCCAAGTTTTCATGAATTAATTGTTTTTCGACTACCTAACCTACCTAACCTAACCTAACCTAACTTTTTCGGCTACCTAACCAAACCTAACCTATAAAGATAGGTTAGGTTAGGTTAGGTAGGGTTGGTTAGGTTCGGTCATATATCTACATTAATTTTAACTCCAATAAAATAAAATTGACCTCATACATAATGAAATAGGTAGCTTTATCATTTCATAAGAAAAAATTTAGAAAAAATATATTAATTAAGGAAAACTTGGCTTATTAGGCAAATCGGGCCTTGAATAGTAGGCCAAAAAGTGAGTTCTGGCTACTAGGTACGACATATATATATATATATATATATATATATATATATATATATATATATATATATATATATATATATATATATATATATATATATGTCGTACCTAGTAGCCAGAATGCACTTCTCAGCCTACTATGCAAGGCCCAATTTGCCTAATAAGCCAAGTTTTCATGAATTAATAGTTTTTCGACTACCTAACCTACCGAACCTAACCTAACCTAACTTTTTCTGCTACCTAACCTAACGTAACCTATAGAGATAGGTTAGGTTAGGTTAGGTAGGGTTGATTAGGTTCGGTCATATATCTACGTTAATTTTAACTCCAATAAAAAAAATTGACCTCATACATAATGAAATGGGTAGCTTTATCATTTCATAAGAAAAAAATTAGAGAAAATATATTAATTCAGGAAAACTTGGCTTATTAGGCAAATCGGGCCTTGCATAGTAGGCTGAGAAGTGCGTTCTGGCTACTAGGTACGACATATATATATATATATATATATATATCATATATATATATATATATATATATATATATATATATATATATATATATATATATATATATAAAGGGATGGATATTTAACTCATTATTATTTACAGTTGATAGTTGTTTGGTGATTGGTATTTACGTTTTGCGATTGTTTACATTTGTGATTGTTGTTTACATTTTGATTGATATTTCCATTTTATGACGATTGTTTAGTTTTTGTGATGGTTATTTTCATTCGTTATTATTTTCACATATTGAGGGCGAGCATGTTTATCAGTAAGGGATTTGGGATGGAACCTGTCACGTTCCTTCACCTAAAAAAAAAAAATTAACGCTCAGAAAGTTTAAGTTGAAATTTTGGGTGAATTCCTACAATGTTATTACTGGGTCTGCAGTTTGAGAACCTCAACCCCCTCTTCTGCTCTATTTTAAACTAATTCTCACACATACTCTTCAATTATAAACATTTGAAAATTCGAGTTTCGCATTTAGAACATTAATATTTTGACAATTATTAACAGAGAACATCAGTTGGAGCCTTAAGGAGGATTCGACCTTGCACACTGGGTGCTTCCAAACATACGCCTTAGACCACTTAGCCACAACATGCTGATGGCTCCTACTAATTTTCTCTTTGATACACTATATTAATGTGGTTACTTTGGGCCTTATGAACATTTAGAAACAGTAAGAGCACCAAACTAGGCAGTCAGATTAGGCACAGTCACGCTAGGCACAGTCAGGCTAGGCACAGTCAGGCTAGGCACAGTCAGACTAGGCACAGTCAGGCTAGACACAGTCACACTAGGCACAGTCACACTAGGCACAGTCACACTAGGCACAGTCACACTAGGCACAGTCACACTAGGCACATTCAGGCTAGACACAGTCAGGCTAGGCACAGTCAGGCTAGGCACAGTCAGTCTAGGCACAGTCAGTCTAGGCACAGTCAGGCTAGGGACAGTCAGACTAGGCTCAGTCAGGCTAGGCACAGCCAGACTAGGCACAGTCAGGCTAGGCACAGTCTGGCTTGGCACAGTCAGGCTAGGGACAGTCACACTAGGCACAGTCACACTAGGCACATTCAGGCTAGACACAGTCAGGCTAGGCACAGTCAGACTAAACGCAGTCAGACTAGACGATATTCTTAGAATAAACTGGAATACACGGACAATATCACGTGGGCGGATTATACCTTAGGCGTTGTTACATTTTCTCTGGAAAGTGGGAGTAGAAATTCAGTCCATCCTCCTAAAATTACAGTACTTACAACTATTGGGTCGAAAGTACCAATATGTAGTGATGGATCCCCAGAAAGTTGACTTTTGTATTACTGAATTACTGACAAAATGTAAACTCTTTCCTTTTAACGTTGACATAAATATAACATAAATATAAGTTCACGAGATGTTCGCTGATGCAACAGAAAACGTTACGGAGAGTATGGGTGTGCTAGGGGGGGATACAAGTTGCAAAATGAAAATAAAAATATTGCTAAATGTTATTGTCAACAACAGAGCAGCGGTACTGGCCAGGTCCAAGTTTTTAACCGACTGACTAAGCCAATGTTCATTCATACATGAAAGCCCTTAAGCATGTCCTATTTCATGTTTCTTCGTGATTTGTATGTTTTTACGTGAATTGCGTTTTAATTTCTTCGGGATTTACACCACACTTTATGTGTGTAATTATTTTGGTTGTATTTACATCTTAATTTAAAATATTGTTTTCTGGTTGTAAATTATCGCATGACGTTGAGTTAATATATTTCACGTCGAATCACATTAAAAGCATAATTGTTCGTTAGATTCACTGTGAACTATGGACATTATTTAACGGAGTTAAATATTATTTAATAATTTTATTTAATTTAGCTTATTATATATATATATATATATATATATATATATATATATATATATATATATATATATATATATATATATATGTCGTACCTAGTTGCCAGAACGCACTTCTCAGCCTACTATGCAAGGCCCGATTTGCCTAATAAGCCAAGTTTTCATGAATTAATGTTTTTTCGACTACCTAACCTAACCTAACCTAACTTTTTCGGCTACCTAACCTAACCTAATCTATAAAGATAGGTTAGGTTAGGTTAGGTAGGGTTGGTTAGGTTTGGTCATATATCTACGTTAATTTTAACTCCAATACAAAAAATTGACCTCATACATTATGAAATGGGTAGCTTTATCATTTCATAAGAAAAAAATTAGAGAAAATATATTAATTCAGGAAAACTTGGCTTATTATGCAAATCGGGCCCTGCATAGTAGGCTGAGAAGTGCGTTCTGGCTACTAGGTACGACATATATATATATATATATATATATATATATATATATATATATATATATATATATATATATATATATATATATTTATTTATATATATATATATATTTATTTATTGTAATTTCACGGAATATAATATAAACGAAGCGACTATATGCGTAGCGTTTTATTTATTGGTGTCCTAGCGAAGGTTGCGAATTACGATAGTTAACAGCGTTCAAGAATTACAAAGAGAAACAACGTTCAAGATTGACCAAATATTAATTCCGTACAAAGATTACAGAGATATGCAGCATGGAAAAATTACAAATATTAGTGCAGTAGATTGCAATACATATAATAATTTGAATACAGTTATTATATTTGAAATTCAGTCTTAGGTTCATCAAAAATAAGTATAGTATTTCGCCAGTTACATAACAAAAATATAAGGGAAAATTAGAAGAATATTCAAGGACTTGTTAGTTTAGAAGCACTTGCGGTGGACTATACCAGGCCCAGATTCGTCATATTCTTCTTTGGTGATCCACATGGACTGGAAGGTGGAGAGAGAGGCCAGGATGGAGCCACCGATCCAGACGGAGTACTTACGCTCGGGAGGAGCAATGATCTTGATCTTGATGGTGGAGGGAGCCAGAGCTGTGATTTCCTTCTGCATGCGGTCAGCAATACCAGGGTACATGGTGGTACCACCAGACAAAACATTGTTGGCAAATAAGTCTTTCCTGATATCAATGTCGCACCTCATGATGGAATTAAAGACGGTCTCATGGATACCGACAGATTCCATGCCCAGGAAGGAAGGCTGGAAAAGCGACTCTGGAGCACGGAAACGTTCGTTGCCGATGGTGATGACCTGACCATCAGGAAGCTCATAGGACTTTTCAAGGGATGAGGAAGCTGCGGCAACGTTCATTTCGCTCTCGAAATCTAAAGCAACGTAACAAAGCTTTTCTTTAATATCTCGAACGATTTCTCGCTCAGCTGTGGTGGTGAAGGAGTAGCCTCTCTCTGTCATGATTTTCATCAAATAGGCAGTCAAGTCCCGGCCAGCCAGGTCAAGACGAAGGATAGCGTGGGGAAGAGCATAACCCTCGTAGATGGGGACAGTGTGGGATACTCCATCACCAGAGTCCAGCACGATACCTGTGGTACGACCAGAGGCGTACAGGGACAGCACGGCCTGGATGGCCACGTACATGGCAGGTGTAGCAAAGGTCTCGAACATGATCTGTGTCATCTTCTCACGGTTGGCCTTGGGGTTGAGGGGAGCCTCCGTCAGGAGGACTGGGGACTCCTCAGGGGCAACACGCAGCTCGTTGTAGAAGGAGTGATGCCAGATCTTCTCCATGTCGTCCCAGTTGGTGATGATGCCGTGCTCGATGGGGTACTTGAGAGTCAGGATACCTCTCTTGCTCTGGGCCTCATCGCCGACGTAGGCGTCCTTCTGACCCATACCGACCATCACACCCTGGTGACGAGGACGGCCGACGATGGAGGGAAAGACGGCGCGGGGAGCGTCGTCACCAGCGAAGCCGGCCTTGACCATGCCAGAGCCATTGTCCACAACCAGTGGGCTTACGTCGTCGTCACACATGGTCGAGTGGTGCTAGGTCTAGAAGAATATTATATATTAATTATACATTTGTATATGAGGGATTCAAACATTACTTTAAAGTTATTTCTTACATATAGTCATAATGGCTTGGCGCTTTCCCCCTGATAGTTCCCTTCCCTTCCTTTAATACAGTTATTATGTTTATATACATGAATAAAATTCCATAATTTTTATTATGTTCAATACATTATTCCCATACGATAAATGCAATTGTGTACTGGGACAGATCTTAGGTAAGCATTTACAGCGTGGACAACCTGATTTAATGGTGTTACAATGGAAATAGTACATTGTACTATTTGCAGTCTCCGTGGCGCAGTGGTAAGACACTCGGCGCTTTGCAATCGCTTTGGCCTGGGTTCTCATCCTGGCCCGGGAGGATTAACCGGGTGCCAATACTTAACTGTAGTCTCTGTTCATCCAGCAGTGAATGGGTACCTTGTTGTTAAACGATTTGGTGGGTCGTATTCCGGGTAAATAATTAGGCTTAAGGTCTTGCTCGAAGCGCTATGCGTGCTAGTGGCTGTATAAGAATGTAACAACTCTTGTATATAAATAAATAAATAAATAACTGTGCATTCTTTTCACTTAAAATTGAATTTAAATTATATATTTACCATTTTCGTGTGTTTATATCTAGATTATTGGTTTATGAGAGATTATTAAACTTGATCTACTCAACCAAATAATTGTTTGATGACCAGCCCACACACTAGAAGGTGAAGGGACGACAACGTTTTGGTCCGTCCTGGACCATTCTCAAGTCGAGAATCAAGACAATCGACTTGAGAATGGTCCAGGACGGACCGAAACGTCGTCGTCCCTTCACCTTCAAGTGTGTGGTCTGGTCATCATACTTTAGCCACGTTATTGTGACCCATCGCCTGCAAATAATTGTTTATTAAGCCTCATCACTATTTTGTATGAATGTATCCGCTTGTTCATATCATACAGAGATTCATTGTTGAATATGGAGTTAAGCAGTGTGATAAGAATTACATAGCCTCAAATGTTTGCGAAGAGTTTTGCGTGATCCATCCTGTTATAAATTACCTTGAATATTTTTTAGCGAAGGATGCGGTTGCTTAATCACTAAAACTCTACTCTAGTTCTTGTTAGTGCTTGCGATACAGTCACTGTCATAGTGTTATATTACTGTTAAAATTTAAAGTTATCAAGATATCTGACACAGATATATATATATATATATATATATATATATATATATATATATATATATATATATATATATATATATATATGGGTCCCCACATTGGCACCAGAGGTGGTACCCTCACAAACTTAAAAAAAAAAAAAAATATATATATATATATATATATATATATATATATATATATATATATATATTATTTTACTTCAGCTATACAGTATATGATTTTACTTCAATTATTATACCAGTGAACTTATTCTTATTTGCCACAAAAAATTGAAGTGTTTCTCTACAGTATTAGGGACAATAACATATTTGACAGCTTAGAACCACTAAGTGTCAAAGTATAGAATGTAGTTGTTTCTGGTTAAGGTGTCTTTCCTTTCAATTTGACCAATTGACAGTGTTTTCCATCTGAGGAGACCAACTTCCCGTTTTCTGTAAACAATGAGCTGCCCCACCCTCTCCGCCCACACACAGAGAGCAACCTACAGAAGTCCCGCCGTATCCTGAGTCTCAAGTACACTAAAGGTTGGTCTGGGCAAAGACCTCCTTTTATACCCACCTTTCACTTCCGCCATATTAAGAATAGGCGTCAGTTGTTGCAATATGGTGTTTTTCTTTGCCATTCTACTCGTTGGCCATACCCGGTCCTAGTAAATTTGTATATATATATAACTCGATGTTTATCTCTTTTTCAGCTTTCCCTTTAAAACATTTTATTCAGTGGGGAAACACAAAAAATAACTCCAAGAGAAGGGCAATGGCGATTATACCGGATGCTGGGGCTTCCCTATAGCTGGTTGCCAACTTAAACGATTCACGATAACAGGATTACAAGTTGTAATTGAGTTGAGTGGGGAAATGTAATAAGGTGGTTACATTACGAAGAAGCTTAAAAGCTTTGTTGACATGCGTTGCTGATTGATGTAATTCAGCATTAAAGTAATATTGAGTCAAGAGTGAAAACCAGAGGCAAAAAAATGAGGTTCCTCAGAGACAAGTCAACAATTTTTCTCTGGTGCCTTGAAGCTATTTATAAAGCGTCTGTTTACACCCAAAATTTGTCAAAGTGCAGTAAGTGTTTGGCCATGTAGTTGTAGGTATACTCACGTAATTGTGCTTGCGGGGAGGTTGAGCTCTTTGGTCCCGCCTCTTAACTGTCAATCAACTGGTGTACAGATTCTTGAGCCTACTGGGCTCTATCAAATCTACATTTGAAACTGTGTATGGAGTCTGCCTCCACCACATCATGAGGTGTGGCTAGGCTGTGGTGAGTATGGGGTATAGGATTGTGGGTCAGGCTAGGTTGTGCTGAGTATGGCATTATGAGTCTGGCTAGGCTGTGGAGAGTATGACATTGTGGGTCAGCCTAGATTGGTATGGGATTATTGGTCAACAAAGCTGTGGTGAGTATAGGATTGTGGATCAGATTAGGTTGTAATACGTATAGGGGGTTCAGAGTCAAGTTAGGTTGTGGTGAGTATAATGTTCTGGATCAGGCTAGGCTGTGATAAGTATAGGGTTCTGCGTCAGGCTAGGCTGTGATGAGTATTGTGTTCTTAGTCAGGGTAAGCTGTGATGAGTATTAGGTTCTGGGTCAGATGCCAGTTTTAATCCTTCTTCTGTTTACTGGATGTGACAAGGTGTGCTGAGTATGAGTGACTGAGTATGAGGTTCTCAGTCAAGCTAGGCTGTAATGAATATTGGATTCTGGGTCAGGCTCTGCTGAGTATGGGGTTATGGGTCAGGCTAGGCTCTGCTGATTATGGGGTTCTCGGTCAGACTAGGCTTTGCTGAATATGAAGATATGGGTCAGCCTAGGCTGCTGAGTATGCGATTCTGGGTCAGGCTAGGCTGTAGGAAGCATCAATTTAATCCGATTCCTACGTGTGGATAGCTAGGGTCGGAGAATAAACATCAAAGTATTTCTAGGTATGTTCCCATCAGAGACACCTTCACAGCACATGTCAGATGCTAGGGGAAATTTTATTGTAAACTAGACCGAAATAGTATTGGGTGTGGAAGAATGAATGTTATATCCGGAAATGACTTTGGGTTTGACGAAGTAGTTTGAAGCCTTCAAGCACACCTTGTCACATCCAGTAAACAGAAGAAGGTTTAAACCTGGCATCTCGAGTCATGGTTGCAAGAGTGAGCTATGTCGCTTTCTATGTTCAGATTTTATTCGTGCATTTCTTTGATGTTTCTGCTTCTCTTGAGTGTTTGAATAATTGTACCTTGACGGCTTCAGCTCTCTTAGTGGACATATCTTGTGAACCATATATAATGTTTTTAATGATATGGTTTCCAATCTGAAATATTGTCATAAATGAACAGATGGGATGAACAGATGGGACATCTGTTACTTTTCGACGATATTTACTATAAGATTCTTTACTATAAAAGCCAAGATAAACGTTCTGTATGGGAACTTTAAATAATGAAATCAGTTTCTTCGTCTGTTTTAAACGTGCCAAATTTTTAGGGTTTAATGGAATTTGTATCGTAATAATTTTTTTTCTAGATATCGAATTTTAAGTGAAATAAAAAAATGTCCACAATGGATTTAAATAATCTGCAAATAGAGCAATTAAAATGTCCCGTCTTATTCCTTGTATTGAGCGTGGCAATGGTGCATGTTGGGTATTAATGGATTTAAAAGGATTATGTATATTGTTGTTTAGATTCTACCACAAACGAAGCCATTGACCTGCAATGCTATCATACATATACATTTTCTTGTGTCCTTTTATTGTAGGTAAAAAAATGCTACACATGCATGTGTTTTTATTGTAGATAAAAAACGCTTAAATATTTAATCTATGACTAACTAAAGCTGGAGGTGGTATGCCGGCAGGCTGGGCCCATTTGGGTATAGTGTGACCACTATGGTACAGTGTAGTAACGTATTGACCTGTCATCATGCAAGTAGGGGTTCGATCAAGGGTTTGAACTCAGACCTGCAAAATACGAGGCAGTTTCTCTTATCCGCTTAGCAAGTCGTAAAGCACCATGTGATCCTCATTAATATTTACTTAAATATTAGTCCATATTTGTATAATTATATTATAGATAACTAAACAGTTGCTTTAATGCCAGTGAAATCTTCGTCATTTAGAGTGTCATTGTTCATGTTGGTTTGATGGTAAAAGTTGCGTGTGTGTGTGTGTGTTGGGTACTATCAAAGACTGCGATGTGATACTAAATTATCATGGTCATAATCAATATGTTATGTTTTCCAGATTTTCCATAATTTTTATAAAGGAAAAACAATAAAATTTGTATATAAATAAATATATTTTTGATCAAAGATTAAATACAAAACAAAATATTCTTTTATGATCCAGTGTGATCACTTGTTCCTTTAGAAGCACTTACGATGAACAATGCCAGGTCCGGACTCCTCGTATTCCTCCTTGGTGATCCACATGCATTGGAATGTGGACAGAGAGGCCAGGATAGAGCCACCAATCCAGACGGAGTACTTACGCTCGGGAGGAGCAATGATCTTGATCTTGATGGTGGATGGAGCAAGTGATGTAATTTCCTTCTGCATGCGGTCAGCAATACCAGGGTACATGGTGGTACCACCAGACAAAACATTGTTGGCGAACAGGTCCTTCCTGATATCAATGTCACACCTCATGATGGAATTAAAGACAGTCTCGTGGATACCAACTGATTCCATACCCAGGAAGGAAGGCTGGAAGAGAGCTTCTGGACACCTGAAACGTTCATTACCAATGGTTATAACCTGACCGTCGGGGAGTTCGTAGGACTTCTCGAGTGAAGTTGATGCAGCGGCAACATTCATCTCACTCTCAAAGTCGAGGGCGACATAGCAAAGTTTTTCTTTGATATCACGGACGATTTCTCGTTCAGCTGTGGTGGTGAAGGAATATCCACGCTCAGTCATGATCTTCATCAGATAGGCAGTCAAGTCACGGCCAGCCAGGTCAAGACGAAGGATAGCGTGGGGAAGAGCATAACCCTCGTATATGGGGACAGTGTGAGTAACACCATCACCGGAGTCCAGCACGATACCTGTGGTACGACCTGAGGCGTACAGGGACAGCACGGCCTGGATGGCCACGTACATGGCGGGGGTGTTGAAGGTCTCGAACATGATCTGTGTCATCTTCTCACGGTTGGCCTTGGGGTTGAGGGGAGCCTCCGTCAGAAGGACTGGGGACTCCTCAGGGGCAACACGCAGCTCGTTGTAGAAAGAGTGATGCCAGATCTTCTCCATGTCGTCCCAGTTGGTGATGATGCCGTGTTCGATGGGGTACTTGAGAGTCAGGATACCTCTCTTGCTCTGGGCCTCATCACCGACGTAGGCGTCCTTCTGACCCATACCGACCATCACACCCTGGTGACGAGGACGGCCGACGATGGAGGGGAAGACGGCGCGGGGAGCGTCGTCACCAGCGAAGCCAGCCTTGACCATGCCGGAACCATTGTCGCAGACGAGAGCTGTTGTATCTTCGTCACACATGGTGATGGTGGATTAGGCTGTTTCCGTTTCACTGAAGAATAAATATATAATTAATATTCAATTATATTGTTAATCGAAATTATATTTGTTTCTGCAAACAGCTGCTCATTCAGGGTAAAGTTTAATAATTCTTGTTTTGGGTAAGTTGTTTTACATTTTCAAATATAAGTTGTGTAATCATTAGGAGATATATGTTTAATGGCTTAATACATTTATCTTTTATGTTAACATTGTTTACAATTGTAGTAATCAATATTTATTCAGGAAACAATAGAAAATTTATATAAATTTATCAATGAGAAAGTAATCTTCGCTGTATTAAACCATTTGTAGTATTCTCAGTTTAATTTGATTGAAAATGGCATTCACCTAATAACTGGTATTTAGTACTGTGTACAAAATAGTTTATATATTCCCATTCACAATGTAAAATATAAATGTTAATTGTAAAAATCTGAGTTTAGTCTCTGGTATTGATTGAAGAGATCAACGTGTAGTGTCTATTATATTGATACAAATATTGTACGTGGCTCCAATTTGGTAATGATATCCGCGATACTATTACAGGTAACTGCTGTTTTTAGTAAACAAAAGTGCTGAAAGTTATACTTTGCTTATAAATGAGTGATGCATTTTTCTGTATACTGGGGCGTTAGGTGAAGTAACGCAGGCAATATTAACAGATGTACGAGAATAAAATATAGTTCAGCTGAGCGCTTGGGTTATCATCGTTCAGTAATTTAATGAAATGGAATAATATTTTCGTGCACAGCTGGAGTAATCAAGAACTCTTAGTCCTTAATGATTTATAGGAGACGTACGCCTAACTCACCCTGCATGGATGTGTTGACAGACGCTTATAATGTTTAAAGTTTCTTTCAACTATATGGTATTTATGAAGAAATATAATGCGCGCTCTGCACAAATCGCGGAACACTAGGCTATATAATCCAACGGTGTTTAGATCTCACTCTTCGTTGTTTCGTAACGGCTTCCCTCATAAATGGTTGCGTGTTTTAATATCCGCATTATATTTGATATATACAGTCTGCCATATAATATTGTTTAAGACTGTTTAGTGTGTCCACTGCTTCTCGTATGATGTAGCCGCGGGACACTCACTACTACACACTGTAAACAGGTCGAGTAATGTGTGTTTACATCTGACTTTAGAGAACCATTAATAAACGTGAGTACTGTGGCTATGACCCTTCAAGTTATGTTCGTTCTTGTAATCGTTTAATGATTGTACAAGGCACCAGCTCCTGTACCAGGTAAGTCCACTACGGGCTCACCATAGCCCGTGCTTCTTACCCCGCTCCTGTACCAGGTAAGTTACTGGCTCACCATAGCCCGTGTTACTTGGGACTTGTTCAGAGTAGCTGAATCTATAACACCAATACAAGGCGCACTAGGCACGGGTCAGACACAGCTGAGCGGCATGCTGAATACTGCAGTGTCCTGTAAAGATTTTATCCCAGGGTTATGTTTTCACCCTGGGGACAAGGCCTGCTGGAGAGCACAGGTGGAGCCGGCAGTACCAAGGGGCCAGTTGGAATATCATGAACCTCGATCGATAACAAGGATTTTTGGTGAAGTCTGGGAGATATAAGTATTCAAGAAGAGGTAAACTCTTAAGAGGTTTGCTTCATACAAGTAATGTAAATCGGATCTGTAAACCTATTGCAGAGGTACCTCTATGTACTTATAAAGTTTATGGAAAATGAGTAATTCACAAATGCATTTTCCAATTGGTTAAACTTGCAGCGTGATGGAGAAACAAAAATATATTAATCTGATGAAATGGTTTGCCTTGTCAAGTGGCAGAATTATCATAAAAAGTCATGTATATAATTAGTCACAAAGCAGTTGGTTTAAAAGGATCGTAAAATATTTAATCCGTAAAGTTTTCACTTTCTTTTGTTGCATGATGGGGTTTTGGATTATTTATCAAATACAGTTAACTTAAAAATAGAGGCTAAGAGTACCAAGTATCGTCTCAATATTAACATTGGTTATATAGCCTAATTGTAACTAGTAACAAATGGCCGGGTTAATTAAATCACTATTACATAAGGTTGGATGCTGTCACAGTTAAGTATTTACAAGGACAAACCACATGCACAACACATCAAAAACGTACACGTCTCAACGTCTCCTGACGCGGGTCTGAGGCGGACTAAGATCTCGAGGGTCTCTTGACGTCCTTATATATGTCTTTCTCATCCGTCAGACTACGGTTGTCTCCTACGGGTCATTTCTTTACCGCTATGACATAACCCCGTATAGGTAAGTGGCCGGGAAGATGCGCGAGTCAGACTGTGATTCATTGTGTTAAAAATATAGTCAGGAGGTGTCCGGCACCCATCACGCCACCCATGATAACAACGTCATGCATGTCATGCTGGTATGCGTAGTAATGCTCTCTGCATACGTGTCCTGATAATAACCCAGGGATGTTATTTGCTACCTGTGAGTTGCTGCCCGTAATTTTGTATATAATACACAACAACAACAGCAATAATTAACAGCCAGCTGGTGAGCTAAATGCCTATCTCAAAATGAATCTCGGTTGTCAGTGACTGTCAGACTAACCCATAAATTTACCAGTTATCTTCGGCGTCGAGTTATTTTCAGTGCTCAGAGGTAGGCAGTGTTGGTAATGTAATGTCAGCTGTTTTGTTATGGAAGTGTATCGAATGATGATTGTGTGTGTGTGATCTCTTAACTCACTCCAATATCGATTTGTTTTAAGCATACTTATAATTAAGTGAATCAGCAGTAAATTTGGATTTGGAGCGAGTATAATTCCTAGCGTTTTCCTGGGGGTATTCCTACCTTATTGCTGTTGATTTCTTGGTATATATTCCTCATGTATCCCTTATATATTCCTGCAGTATTCCTGGCGTATGCATCCTCGCAGTGTTATTGCTTTGGTGTTTGGTTTAATGAACACACCTTGTTGAGAGGAGGGCTATATCCTAGGCGGAAGATCTCTCTGCTGCGAGGAACTGATCATGCTCTGGAAGATCTCTGCGCTACGAGGAAGCTTATCATGCTGTGGAAGATCTCGGTGCCATGAGGAAACTAATCATACTGTGGAAGATTTCTGTGGTACAAGGAAACTAAATCATGCTTGGAAGATATTTAAGCCACGAGGAAACTAATCATGCTGTGGAAGATCTCTGTGCCACGAGCAAACTAATCATGCTGTGGAAGATCTCTGTGCCACGAGCAAACCAATCATGCTTTGGAACGTCTTTGTGCCACGAGGAAACTATAATCATACTGTGGAAGATCTCTGCGCCACGAGAAAACTAATCATACTGTGGAAAGCAGAAGTTGAATTTGTGTGCATTTTTTTTTCTGAATGGGCACTCCATGTTTGCTATACACTAAGGAAAAATGATATATATTTAACTTATGTAGTTGGTTATGCCTTACCGGACACACACGTGGTCAAGCAGTGAGAAGGTTATGCCACCTTGGTCTGGTAATGCGGGTCATGCATTTATCCTTCGTGGTCCTTATAAACCGATATGCGGTCGCCAAGACCACTCTGGAAGGTCTTAGATTGATATGCGGTCGTTAAGACCACTCTGGATGGCCTTAGAGGTGTGTGTGGTCGTCAAGACCATTCTGGATGGTCTTAGACTGATGTTCGGTCGTCAAGACCACTCTGGAAGGTCTTAGATTGATATGCGGTCGTTAAGACCACTCTGGTTGGTCTTAGACGTATGTCTGGTCGTTAAGACCACTCTGGTTGGTTTTCGACCTATGTACGGTCGTCAACACCACACTAGCTGGCTATAGTCTTTTCTGTATATTTCTCATAAATTTAAGGGACCTCAGTTGGTTTGGGAATTAACACGTTTTTCCTCCATATTCGCACAGGCGGCTTCTGGGTGCATATTTAGCACACTGTTTTTTATTTGTATACTTTCATCCATTTGTGTAATTTTACCCATTTCTATACGCTCATCCATAAGTATATTTTCACCCATTTGTATACTTTTATATATTTGTATACTTTCATCCATTTGTATACTTTCATCCATTTGTATACTTTCATCCATTTGTGTAATTTGACCCAAATCTATACCCTCATCTATAAGTATATTTTCACCCATTTGTATACTTTTATATATTTGTATACTTTCATCCATTTGTATACTTTCATCCATTTGTAGGCTGTCATCCATTTGTATACTTCAGTTATCTACCCCTTATACTTCGCATTCGTTGAGAATATAAATTAAACGGTTTTAGTCTCTTTTGTTCATGAGAGAGACGCTCCTACATCATCCAGGGAATAATTTTTGTCATACTTTTTTTGTTAACATTTTAGTGAGCTTATATTGAACGGTGTTAACACTAAACTACAGTCTGAATGGGGCCTGTGGAAATATAAAGACTATATATTTCCCCTTATATAAATATATAAGGGGGAAATATAAAGACGGAGAACAACATAAAACGTCGTATTACTAATGCATCTTATTACGATTCATAGATCTATTTGTCTTATTTCGAACATTTTCAGCTTGATTTCTTGACCTAAGGTCACTGCTTAATCATGCGGCCTAACTTCCAATAATGATCCTGCTTTATAGCAACTGTTTAGCATACTGATATGTTCTGTTTGACCGAAAAGGTTCACGCTTTGTATTATTCAGTTAACCCAAATGGCATATTTAGAAAATCAAACAGTAACTTAATAACTTCGTCACGTGATGTTATGTTATTTGCGGTGTCTGTTACTTGGATGTTACATACGACGATCAATGCGTTTCATTTTTTGTTGTTGTGTTCTTCATGCTCAAATAATAATGTTATAGCAAACAATACCCTGTCGTACCTCAGTCGATTAAGGCAGTGTCTGGGATGCTCCCGGACGCAGGTTCGAATCCTCGTCACGGCCCTTGTGGATTTGTTCATTTGATGTATCACATTAGTGTGATCTCTGTGTGTAATAATGTTATAGCCTTCAGTGTGAGAATACATATATAAGTGTTCTCCTGAAATCTGTACTTGGGTGTATAGATCAAGAGCTGCACTTTTTAGAGCATTTACAATTACAGGATACCTTATCTTTAACTGTTTGGAATTTACGTGTTAATTAGAGTTATAAACAAGGTAGCGTGCAACACTTTTTTGACCTGCAGTCGATTGGCTTAAATTAAACTAGCTTAATTTACTTAAATTGGTGATAGTACGAAAAGTCATTAGAAAATAAGTAAATAATTTATTTGCTCCTCAAAAGGATCTCATAACAATTCATTTCAATATATTAGACTTCACGTGTCAATATCGAAAACAAAACAAAAAACAAATACTTGATCGTGTCGTAAAGATAAATATGGATTTTCATGCGATACTTTACGATGTGGAACAATTTAGAAGCACTTGCGGTGGACGATGCCGGGTCCGGACTCGTCGTATTCTTCTTTCGTGATCCACATACACTGGAATGTGGACAGAGAGGCCAGGATGGAGCCACCGATCCAGACGGAGTACTTACGCTCGGGAGGAGCAATGATCTTGATCTTGATGGTGGAGGGAGCCAGAGCTGTGATTTCCTTCTGCATGCGGTCAGCAATACCAGGGTACATGGTGGTACCGCCAGACATGACGTTATTTGCAAATAAATCCTTCCTGATATCAATGTCGCACCTCATGATGGAGTTGTAAACGGTTTCGTGGATACCAACAGATTCCATACCCAGGAAGGAAGGCTGGAAGAGAGCTTCTGGACACCTGAAACGTTCGTTACCGATGGTTATAACCTGACCGTCGGGGAGTTCGTAAGACTTCTCGAGTGAAGTTGATGCAGCAGCAACATTCATCTCACTCTCAAAGTCGAGAGCGACATAGCAAAGTTTTTCCTTGATATCACGGACGATTTCTCGCTCAGCCGTGGTGGTGAAGGAATATCCACGCTCGGTCATGATCTTCATCAGATAGGCAGTCAAGTCCCGGCCAGCCAGGTCAATGCGAAGGATAGCGTGGGGAAGACAGTAACCTTCGTAGATTGGAACAGTGTGAGTCACTCCATCACCAGAGTCCAGCACGATACCTGTGGTACGACCGGAGGCGTACAGGGACAGCACGGCCTGGATGGCCACGTACATGGCGGGGGTGTTGAAGGTCTCGAACATGATCTGCGTCATCTTCTCACGGTTGGCCTTGGGGTTGAGAGGAGCCTCCGTCAGGAGGACTGGGGACTCCTCAGGGGCAACACGCAGTTCGTTGTAGAAGGAGTGATGCCAGATCTTCTCCATGTCGTCCCAGTTGGTGATGATGCCGTGTTCGATGGGGTACTTGAGAGTCAGGATACCTCTCTTGCTCTGGGCCTCATCACCGACGTAGGCGTCCTTCTGACCCATACCGACCATCACACCCTGGTGACGAGGACGGCCGACGATGGAGGGAAAGACGGCGCGGGGAGCGTCGTCACCAGCGAAGCCGGCCTTGACCATGCCGGAACCATTGTCCACAACCAAAGCATTGGTGTCCTCGTCACACATGGTGGTAATTTAGAATGCCTGTGTGTAATAGTTAAGAAAAATAATATTTGTTATCTATGCATATTACATTGATATTTTTGTTTTTCTGTCATGGATATTGCATTTCTATATCAATATTCATAGGAAATGTAAAAAGTTGCCTCCTCGCTAAAGTTGTAATATATGTGTCGAGGTATATTAGGAGACATCTAAGAGACGTCTAAAACGTCTAAGAAGTCTATGAGACATCTTAGACGTCGACATTTACAGTAGGGGTCATTAGGTAACGACTTAGATGATGCCCGGCAATGAAAATAGATTCGCTCTAGAAAGCACCTACAGGTTGCCTTATTAAAATGCGATAATAGAGGCAACCATTACTAGATTATTAAAAATACATCCAGGATAGAAGTGTTAATATATTTTGCTTTGCCATCGATAAATCCTCAATATTTCCTATCGGAAGAAAAGTCTAGTTTGTTATGGAATAATAGGTTCCTCGAGCATTAGAGCAGCACGCCTTAATGATAATTAGTTGCCACCAATGTTCAAAATATAATTACTTCATATATATATGATTTTATCAATCTATTCATGTATAATTTCCTTTGATTCATTTTAATTTTAGTCTGGATGACACCTTATCACTATTGCAGAGAAGCTCCTATGCAGTTTCTCAATTTTTTTTTACATGCCTGCAAAAAGTTATGCAGATGTCTTCCTACTTGAATACTAATCTGAATGATTTTTTTACTTGTAGATTTAGCGGGTAAAGCGCATTACTTGCT